AGAACACAAGCATCAGATTTCCTTAAATTTTGACGTATTTTTCTAAGATTAAGGGTTTCAAATAGACACGACACAAACAGCCTTGACCAGGTGACCCAGCCAAGATAACTCAGGTGCTTACTAATGTCCCAGCAACACAACTCCACAGATTACAGAATACAAGAATGCTCCTGTGATAACTTTCACTGCAACAATATCAGCAATTAAAATGAAGTGACATCAGTGTTGAGGTCTACTTGCGCACCAACAATCATTTTCTCAGGGTTTTTGTAGCATTTGTCAGATGTGTGTCGCCTCCTGAGAGGTCCCACTCTTTCTTACTCACAATCCTCTGACTAATTGTCTACAGTGTTTCTGCCTCTAGCTGCCTGTGGGTCCTTAACTGCGTCTGTAAAAACGGTCTTATCCACGTCATCAGCAGCACCAGAGAGGCCAAATGATGAAAACGGTGGCAACGCTCTGGTTTTTCTGCTTGCGTCGTATGAAAGGAGCCATTAGTCAGTCTTAAAGAGCCACACCGTCTTTCTGGAGCTATTAATAGACACACAGACGGCCTTATTTTTTTTCCAGGAGAAAGCTGGCTACGCAGCATTTGAAGCCAGCCCCGCAAAATCCCCCCTTTCCCTACTCACTTCCTCCCCACCCTCTTCTCTGCAGAAAGCCGTGTACTGTGACAAATCTCTCACAAAGTGTATTTTTAGCTTCAAGCAACCACAGGCTCCTATTTGTACTGTAACGTGTGCAAAGAAACAACACATAAGCATGTAAAGACAGTGAGATAGTCTCCGTTATACGCATGCTAGTGCCCTGAACCACATTCCGGTTAAGAAAACGTTAGTGTGAGAATTGACAGTGACCCTCTTTGAGATATCTGACTGCTGAATCATTCATTAATTATTAGTTCAAAGCAGGTTTTACACGCTGTAAAAGCAGCGGTAGCTTGTGTTGTCTGGTTTCACTTAGAATCATTACACTACTCTTTAACCAAAGGATCACACATAGAAGATGAGCTTAAATTTGAGACTGTGTGAAGAGGTTATAAAGACCAGAGAAAAGTGAAAAGGTAGCTCAGAAGTACTGCTACATTTTACAAGCTTATTGGTGAAGCCTGATTTTAAAGATTTTTTAAAGATTTGTAAGCAATATTTGAAGAAAAAGTTGTGAATAAACGTGAAATTGAGGTTTTTACAGTGAAGTTGTTGGTGTAAAGCAGTATCCCAAATGATGCTACACAATTATATTTAATAGTCGCAACCTTTGATTAGTCATTGATCATCACAGCTGCGATAATTAGAATGGTTTCTTTTTATAGTAAAGTAATAGAGAGTATATATAGTGTCACATTGCAATGTTTTACTAAAGGAAAAGTAAGATAGAAAGTGCACAGGTGATGTTACTCCTCTTTAGGCATTTCCGTCTGTTGCACCTCCACCAGCACCCTTTGGTCAGCTGCTGGGTCTTCAAGTCAAGGAGCTGCTCACAAATGCTTCATATCTGCTTTGATGAGTCCTGTTTAAGTGATATTTTTTGATTGAACACAGAACTAAACAATCTGGGATTAGCAAGAGGTTTCTGGTTTGACTGCTCAGTTTCATAATAAGAAACTCACCACATAGTTTGGAGTTAAAATCAAACTAAATATTTAGGTGTTGCTTGTTCTGTTGCAAATCCAGTAAGTCCGATTACATTTTAAGTGAGCTGACGTGCTTCCCAACATTGATCTCGGTTACACTTGATAAACAACAATTTCAGGGATAATCAGTGGAGGATGGACTCAGAGCCTTTACTCATACACCAGTCGGCCAATAAAACCACTGACATGTGAAGGGAATTACACCGAACATCTCATCGCAAAGCAATGTTCTGCTGGGAAGTCTTAGGATGTTTCTTGCCATGTACTGCCAACTAAAATATTGTTCCAGACCAAACAATCCTCACACGGTAATAATCCTCCCAGACAGCAGCGGCCTCCCCAAACAGGTCAAGGTGCACTTCCACAAAAACACCACAAAAACTGCTCAGCTATGACCTGAGGAACACGATAAAGAGCCCAAAGCGATGAGCAAATCTGATCAAACATCCGTGAGAAGCATCAGAACAATGTCATGGAGGCCCCACCCTCCAACCCACAGGAACCAAAGGAACCTATGCAAACATCTTGGTGCCAGACACCACAGGACACCCCAAAGGTCCTGTGATCAACCCCATGGACCAGAGCTGTTTTGGCAACACAAGGAGGACCTACACAATATTAGGCAGGTTGTTTTAATGTTGCCTCCGATCATTGCGAGTAAAAGCAGTAATAAAACTGTGTAAAAACACTCAATACGTTTACCCAAGCTAAACAAGCCCTGAAATAAACCAGAGTATAAAAAGTTCTTAAAGCGTGCATTAAAGTACAGTTCAGAGAGAACTGTTCTGGAGGGAGCAGCAGTGAAATGGAGAAATTAAAGCACAAGTGCCTCAAACTTGTAACTGTAAAGTGCAGCTCTTGTGAATTACTGTCACCACTGGGGATCATACGGTTGTGTTGCTGTAGTTAAACTTCAGTACCTGCAGTAAAATGACATTAGAGGGGCTTCATCAGTGCTGCCTTTGCCCCTTGGCTGTGGGTGGGGTCTCGGTTTACCGACATGACCGTTGAAGCTCATCGTTTAGCAGCTGGTGTCGGAGAATGAGGTAATGAATGAAGTATTTTAATAGGCCTACTTCTGCTTTTATGAGAAAACGTCATTTTCAGTCTCATGAGCTGGAGACTTGAGTCAAGGAATTCCATTTGATGGGGTTTCACGAGGAAAGACAGGCCTTTCCAATATTCATTTAGATTATAGCCATGAGATACTTAATGTACACTAACCTTTCAGTTCACTTCTGTTCAGATGTGCAGTATTTCTCATTGAGGTCACTTTTTGTGCGTTGCCTTACTCCCCTCACTAAGGCGTTCTCAGTTCCTCTGATTTAGCTCTCTAGCTGTTGGGGATTTGCTTTGAGCTTGTGTGAAACTGCGTAAAATCATGAGATCACCCTTATTTCTGGTGCCGGAGTTCACAGTTTGATGACATGTCCACACCGTGCGTCATCACGGACTATGTGAACTAAATATAACCTCTCCAGTACCTTCTGTGAAATTCCTTTTTCAGTTTATATGATTTTTGAATAATAAAACTGCATAAATCCTGCAGAGCGCGATGAACCAAACCTCCACCTACACACGCAATAACCCACACAACAAGCATTATGCATCATCTCTGTTAGAAATAAAAGTCCTCGGCTTGTGTTTGAAAATCGTAACTCACACTGGCTGTTAAATATTAACTAAATTAAAGTTGCACAACAGTTTAACTGCTTTTTAAATTACCCTAGTTTAGATAAGTGAGTGACCACAAGATCAGCAGGACTCCAAAGTAAACTCCACTCAGAGAACAAACAGCTCAGATAACTCACAAGGTCACTATACAACACTGAAACCTTGCTACGCCCCTTAGAGGGTGCAATGGTTATTACACCTCACAGAAAAATCAGACTGAGTTCACAACATATGAATACATTTGTTCTTTTTAACATGGGGGTAAAATGTAATGTAAATGAGGTAAATCTATCAAGATTGTAGCTGTAAATGTTAATAGCTTGATGAATATGTCATGCTAGAATGTTTGTTGGTTTACCAGATAAGAAAAACAGGCAACAGACTCTCTGAGCTCCCAGAAGTCCTGCTACCAGAATGATCCAGATGTGGAAATCCCATGTTTTGCTCTCCAGGATCAGATAATCCATCTCACTTTTGTGCCAGTTGTTCGACGTAACACTGGATCATCCTGATGCACATACAGACTTTTCAAGATGACCAAATCTGGATTAGCAGTGCTCTAAATGGAACCGCAGTGAAGGCTATCAGCTATGTGAAGAACATTAGTAGACGGTTACTATGGCATCACTTATGGAGTTTATGAAGAAATATACAAATATCCAATTAATACATACATCCATTTACAACTTATTTTAAACAGTCACACTGCTCATTTAACCCACAATGAATAAATACAAACAATTATACATTATACACAAAAGCACCTTGAATATTTTGAACACGGTCTTAAAAATGTGTAAAATAATTCATATTCATTATTTAAACTTTGCTGAACTAAAAAGTACTTTTTTTCCCCAATATTTTTTTTATGAGAAACCCACCCTGAATCAGCTCTTCTGCTGTGATCAGGATAAGTCTGATTTTTGGAATCACAGGTATCCCAAATGGTTTTGAACAACACATTATGAAAGTTTGATCCAGATCCAAACCAAGGCCGAATTACGTGAACTAATCTGATCTCATATTTCACTGAATAATCCACTTTCAAAATTTAACATAATCTGATTTGTAAAACTTGTTCAGATTACCTCTGAACAACTGGGCCCTGTATGTGTCAAAACACATTCTATTTAGTGTTTTATCAAATTACCATAAACCAAATAAGACAAAGGAACCTTAACAGGGCTGGTAGGCGTAATCTATCACACAGGGAAGGAGGCTTCTTAGATTCTGGGCATAATAATAAAAAAAGTACATATGAAAGCCTGAATGAACCTGCCCTGTGCAGCCCACCAGGAACACTGGTGGTTACTTTAAGGCTACAGGAAACAAACAAATGCAGAGTTCAAGAACTGTGGAATCGATAGGGGGCCACAGTGTGCGCTTTTAGCTGGAGCCCCCTAGAGGATTAATGATGCACCTACAGGAGGCTGACAAACAGCAGCCACAGAGATGCATGTCTATAAAGCATCAGGAAATGTTGTCTCATACGGTTGCAGCTACATCCTTTATTAGGATGTCGTTTAATCATTAGGGGCGCTTTTGAGTGCACATGAGGAGCTAACTCCTCCAGTCGCCTCCATCCTGGAGGAGGGCGCTCTCTGTTCACTTTCCAGCCCGTGTGGGGAGGTTGTGTTGTGTGAGTGTGGGCAAGAGGACAGCTGTTAGTCCTCCCAGTTCTCCCAGTTAAACCGTCCACAGTGACAGAGCGGATCGGCAGCACCAGCGCACTGTGAGCATCACCATCCAGCCGACATGGACTTCTCTATCCGAGCAGCCAACGTGGAGGACTGCAAGGACATCGCGCGGATGATCATGGTGAGCAGACACGTGCAGTCCAGCTGGAAATACGTCGGAAGACATTTAGGAGGCTGTAATGACTCAGGTTTACGTCAGTGGATCTAATCAAACATGATGCTGCTAATATTAGATTATCCTGATGTTATTCGGGGTGTCTTTGGAGCGCGCACCCGCCTCACGTGCCAGTTTTGGCCATTTGTTTCCATGCACACAGGATGAAAGCCTGATGTGGTTCTGACTGACATGTTTCAGGTTGGTGCTGTGATGTCGGAGAAATCCTAAGAAGTTATGACAGCCGATGTTGTTTTTATTTTTCCCCCTCCAGGAGCTGGCAGAATATGAGAAAATGGCAGACCAGGTGAAAGTCACTCAGAGAGGTAGTGTATCAAGAGTTGTGTTTAAAAATAGATCACATTCTCTGGCTTACACTGAACAAAAATATATATAAATACAACATTTTTGTTTTTGCTCCCATTTTTCATGAGCTGAACTTAAAGATCTAAGACTTTTTCTATGTACACAAAATGCCTATTTCTCTCAAAGATTGTTCACAAATTTGTCCAAATCTGTGTTAGTGAGCACTTCTCCTTTGCAGAGATAATCCATTCACCTCACAGGTCGGGCATGTCAACATGCTGATTAGATAGCAGGGTTTTTACACAGGTGGGCTTTAGGCTGGCCACCATAAAAGGCCACTCTAAAATGTAGTTTCATCACACAGCACAATGCCACAGATGTCGCAAGTTTTGAGGAAGCGTACTGACTACAGGAATGTCCACCAGAGCTGTTGCCCATGAATCGAATGTTCATTTCTCTACCATAAGCTGTCTCCAAAGGCGTTTCAGATAATTTAGCAGTGCATCTAACCGGCCTTACAACCGCAGACCACATGCAACCACACCAGACCCAGGACCTCCACATCCAGCATTTTCACCTCCAACATCGCCTGAGACCAGCCACCCGGACAGCTGCTGTAACAATCAGTTTGCATGACCAAAGAACTTCGGCACAAACTGTCAGAATCCGTCTCAGGGAAGCTCATCTACATGCTCGTCGTCCTCATCTGGGTCTCGACCTGACTGCAGTTCATCATCGTAACTGACTTGAGTGGGCAAATGCTCACATTCGATGGTGTCCGGCACTTTGGAGAGGAGTTCCCTTCACGGATGAATCACAGTTTTCACTGTACAGGGCAGATGGCAGGCAACGTGTATGGCATCGTGTGGGTGAGCGGTTTGCTGATGTCAACGTTGTGAATCGAGTGGCCCATGGTGGCGGTGGGGTTATGGTATGTTATGGACAATGAACACTGGTTCATTTTATTGATGTCATTTTGAATGCACAGAGATAATGTGATGAGTTCCTGAGGCCCATCGTAGTGCCGTTCATCCATGACAGTCACCTCATGTTGCAGCATGATAATGCACGGCTCCATGTTGCAAGGATCTGTACACGTTTCCTGGAAGCTGAAAACATCCCAGTTCTTGCATGGCCAGCATACTCACCGGTCATGTCACCCACTGAGCATGTTTGGGATGCTCTGGATACGACAGCGTGTTCCAGTTCCTGCCCATGTCCAACAACTTCACACATCCATTGAAGAGGAGTGGACCAACAATCCACAGGCCACTATCAACAACCTGATCAGCTCTATGCAAAGGAGATGTGTTGCACTGCATGAGGCAAATAATGGTCACACCAGATACTCACTGTTTTTTTGGTTTTTTTTAGACAAATTTGTGAACAATATTGAAGAGAAATCATTCTTTTGTGTACATATAAAAAGTCTTAGATCTTTAAGTTCAGCTCATGACAAATGGGAGCAAAAACAAAAGTGTTGCATTTATATTTTTTTTCAGTGTAGCATCTTTGTTGCCTTTCTGTCTTATTTAATTTAAACACGGCTGCCAGAACTATTTTGACCATCACATAGGTCCACTTAGTCATTCACCTGAAATATTTATACGTTTAGTATTTATTTTTAATTTGATATACATATGTTAGGAGAAGAAGTCAAATATGTACAAATAGCTAGCTGGAGCTTTAGGCGAGCTACAGCGTCACTATGCCAGCTCTTCTTGGTTTAGTTCCAGCAACCTATCTGGTAATATATTTATGAAAAGTTAGATTTGATCCAATTTGGAATTTTTTTAATTCTTTAGGAACAGCACGTTTCTGTTCATATCCTTTTTTATCCTCTTAAAATGACTGAGAGTAGTGTCTCATAGTATAGAATAGAATTGATTCTTAGTGATTTTGATACATGATTACAAAGTAAATTTGAGTCACGTGGCAAATATTTGTTTTAAGATCTTTATAAAAAAAAAAAAAATTTTAATGACAGAATGCTATGTAATTTGAATTAACACTGTGTGATGTTGTTTCCACTGTTATAACGTCGTACCCATGTAAACTTTTTCTTTCTTTTCTTTTTCAGCAGTGCATTAGCATTAGTTTTATTTTTTTATATATATATTCCTTGACAAGATACTTATTACAAAGCTTTGTGTCAGGTGTCCCATTTTCACAGTACTCATCCTATGACAGGCAATGTAAGCGTCGTATTCATGCAAAAAAAAAAAGAAAAGGCGCTACTCATATACTCATCATTGTAACCAAGTAGTGTGAGTAGTCTGAATCTGAGTAGTGAACTACAGGTCTCTGCACTCCACATTGTTGCACCTCCTATTAGATGAAACTGTAATTTATTCACTTGTAAATACAACCACAACACAAAGTGTGTTTCAGTACTACCAGGGATTGTGGTTATTAATTGCCCACATAATAATAAACATTACAAACAAAACCAAAGGACAGCATGAAGTATTGTTAGGACACAGAACACTCACTGTGAAAACACAAACAATAATTCTACAATTAAAATTGGATGAGCAATTTAACATTCCTAACACTGTGTGGCCACACTGCAATGTCCAAAGAGATGCAATTGGTAAAACAGAAGGACCCACATCAGATTCCATCAAACATCCTGCTCCTAAAAAAATCAAACGTTAAATCTTTCACCAAAAATCAAACTCGCTGTGGAAGGAGTGAGGCCTTGCGTCTTCTTTAGCCTCCCACAGAAAAGAAGTGAGCTGACGGAGGAGAACCACCAGGTGCCACTGGTTACATTTTGGCATTGAGATGTCCATTTTTCTGAGCACTTTTGAGTCTGAATAAAGTTTGAATTAAAAGTCAGTGCCTGACACATGTAACATAAGATGATGAACTAAGAAGTGATTGTGATTGTAAGCTCCAGAACAGCCACAAAATGACCCTTGCGGCGAGCCTTTTGGCCATGGCAATGACTTGAGATCATAATTCAATCAAAAGCTACTGACATAAACATTGTGGTCACATTGCTTTGTTAAATGTCATTATTTTTGCTTTACAAAAAAGAACAACAAATCTGTAAGGGCAATGAGAAAGCAGTGAAACATGTGGACACTACACGAGCTTAATGTTGCATTTCTCCTTGTACAGCCATAACTACAGTAAGAAAGAAGCTACATGCTGGTAAATGTAGAGATCAGGCATGAAGAACTTTAAGGGAAGTCAGCTGAAAATGTTAAGGGCCTTTCTAATGATAGTTTGGCTGCAGAAATACTAATTAGGTAGAATTGCTTGAAAAACTGGAACTTCGGGACCCATTTATTTGTTGAGTACAACTTGCCAATGAAAATACTCTGAGAATAAGTACACAGAGTAGTGCACGTCTAATAGTAGTGTGGAATGAGGACACAGCTGGAGGTTTTGGCAGTAGTGGGAGATGACAAGATTGAAAGGCCAGATGAAAAACGCTGCATTTTTCATAGATAGGTGTTCAGTTATATCTCTGCAAGTTTAAATAACTCCACGAAATAGAGATGCTAAATTAAAACCAAAAAAAAAATAATTCAGAACTTTGTTTTTACCTTATTATTACCACCTGGAAACTTACTTTGAAATGAGGAAATTATGGACCTGTGACTGACAGCATTACTGTTTGATTTTCCAACATGAAGGTCTAACTGTGGTTTCAAAGCCCACTCCAGTCTGCCAAAATTACACTCTGATGAAAACATGCTAAATCATGGTGAAAAAACACTGGATTCTGCCTAAAACTCTGACGTTTTAAACTGTAAACTGTAAAACTGCCCCAGTGTAACTAAACAGGCCATGACTTCACCTGTCTGTCATATGATAATGTGTTTGCAGACTTGGAGCAAGATGGCTTCTCCAAGAACCCGTTCTTTCATGGGATCGTCGCTGAGGTGCCAGAACAGCACAGAACCAAAGAAGGTGAGGAAGATCCATCACTGGTATTGTTCACTTCACGAGCTAACGGCGGTGTACAGCAGATATATATTTCCATACAGACGCACGGGATCACAAAACCATGCAACAGATAATCCTCCTAACGTTGTCTGTGGACCAAACTTGGTCGTAAACTGCTCCCTTCAGCTTCTTCTAATCTGGTCAGTGACAACTTAAAAGATAAAACACCCGTTGGGACTTCACTGTGCAACGTGCTTTAAAGGGTGCAGCGATATTTTTTTCTGCACTAGAGCTGATGGACCTTTTATTTGAGCTTTTCTTTGGATTACAAGATCTTAAGTAAAAGCATGGGAATGTCTTTGGTTTACTTAATCCTCCTCTAAGCCAAATGGCTGACGATTGTTCCCTTTCTAGTACTTGAGATGATTTATCTCGGTAAATTATAAATAAACCAAACCTAGTTATAGATTTAAGTCGCTTTCTAGACAAAAGTATTCCTATTCAGATTAATTAACTCCTACACAATGATGAAATCTAATCAAAATAACTGCAGAGTGACTTAAGCAAGTGCAAAGTAACACAATTTGCTGAGAAATCTGTATTTGGTGAGTTATTTAAATCCTGTCATCAACTCTCTTTGTCTAGATCTGTAATACATGTGGAACAGTAGCTACACATTACAGTCACTTGTAGTCAACCATCAGTCCATATTTATTAGTTCTGTTACCTAATGTAATAGCACCCTGCTGATGTGGCCCCTCTCCTTACACACCTCTTACATAACAAGGCTAATGCGCTGCTTTTCCTCAGAATACAGTAATGAGATCGTTAATGTGCGCTCTGCTGCTCAGCTGGGCCTTTTTTCTTCCATGACACGGCCTTTTTTCCATACAGTCACCACTGTCCACTATCCACCAGACTCCAACATCTGACTCCATGCTGAGGAGTGGCCTCCTGTGTTTATGTGTTGGACTTAACACACCTAGATAACCGAGGACTCTGATAACAGAGCAGTTAGTCAAACATACATACATCATGTGTGTTTGTGCGTGACAGGTTACAGATTTACTGACGGCAGATTCAGCCTGATCACCACAGTGAATATAAGAAAAACTAAATCCCTGATGCTTTCTACAGGTTAGAAACATCCTAGCTTCGGTCGTTCATATCCTGAAACTTAGCCACTAGCATCAGTTAACATGATAAAGCACAAATGGCAAGAATGTACGTTAAAGCTGTACTAATCTGCAAAATGCTGCGCTTGTTTTGGTTTCGCAGCTTACAACTTTAATGATTGATATCACATTCAACACTTCATCATAAGTGATGTTTTGAGTATAATTCTGCAGCTGCTTTAGGGCAAAAAAAGCTCCAATGTCTTAAATCTGCTACCCGCTCTGAACCAAGCAACAGGGACAAGCAACTGGCTAGCATTGTGAAGTTTGTTAGTTGCTAACATTGGAGTGGGTGCAAAATAAACACAGTTGCAGGCAAAGTAACTGAACTCACTATCTTTGTACTTCTGGACCTTCGTGCTGCATTTGACACGGTTGATCACAGCATTCTTCTAAATAGACTAAGACAATGGCTGGGGATTTCAAGTACAGTTTTAGAGTTGTTTTTATCTTATCTTACTAATCGAAGGTTTTGTGTTGCAGCAAACAGCCACATGTCGTCATTTTATCCAGTGAAGTATGGTGTACCTCAGGGGTCTGTTTTAGGTCCTTTTTTTTTTTTTGTACATACTTCCCCTGGGGCACATAATACAAAGACATGGTATTTTATTTCATTTTTATGCCGACGACACGCAGCTGTACCTGCCCGTTAAGGCCACTGACCCTGGGAAGTTGAGTGCTTTAAATGACTATCGAGGATGTGAGAAACTGGATGTTAGAGAACTTCCTTCAGCTGAACAACAGTAAAACCGCAATCTTGGCAAAACAAATTCTGCCATCTGCTGGCCCGCTAGTGGAAAACCTTAAGCTTGCTGCAAGGAATCTCTGCATCTGGTTTGATTTGCACCAAAACACTGAATAATAAATCAGGCCTGATTATTTCATTTAACTTGTGTTTACAGAATGGTATGCAGTTATATGTTTGCACAATATTTAAAAAAAAAAAACAAAACAAAAACAAAACACATGCTGTGATTATCGTACAGCTTTTTGAAAATGAGATAAGAGAAATACTTTCGCTGTTTTCTTGGCCAAAGATGCAGAGCCATTAATCAGCAGAAGCAGAAAATGGCCAACTAAGCGATTCTGCCTATTTATTAAATACTGAAGCTATTTGGCTGTTGAATGTTGAAACTGGCTGAAAACTCTAAAGTCCAATGTTCCTGCTGCATTGAGTTTGCTTTTTTATCATTTTGCTTTCAGGCCATACGAAGATAGGCTATGCACTTTACTTCTATTCCTACAGCTCGTGGATAGGCAGAGCCGTTTATATGGAGGACTTGTACGTGATGCCTGAGTTCAGAGGTACAGTACTGTGTCTCAACAGCAGGAATTATCTGTGTGTGTGGAAAATCTCAGCTAACAGTCCAAATCTGTGTTTCAGGGAAGGGCATTGGGAAAGCACTTATGAGTAAGGTAGCACAGGTGAGTAAAACATCAAAGCATTATTTAACTGTGGCAGCTCAAAAATGGGACTGAACCCCAGACTTTGGGCCTCACAAAACAGGTCTTGTTTATTTACAAGCTAAAAATTCAAAATAATGTCTCAGAGCTTGCATACATCAGCACAGCAGTACTCATGTCAGTCTAACTGCTTGATTTCGGTGTTCTGTAGCTGGGCCTGGCTGCCGGGTGCCACCAGCTCAACTTCACCGTTCTGGACTGGAACAAGTCATCTCTGGACTTTTACGTCAGCCAGGGCTGCGTCGATGTCACAGCTAGCATGGGCTACCACTGTATGCGTTGTGAGGGAGAGGCGCTGCAGAACCTGGCCCAGCCTTAACCCAACATCGGGCTCATGACCTCGCGACCTTCACAGCCCCGAGGTCAATCCACACAGTGCAGGGATAGAGCACCACTCTGTGGCCCCTTTCCAAAACTAGACAATGACAATCGTCAAGCCGATTTTAAAATAACTGACTGTTTGCTAAGCCTTGCCCCCGCTTAAGTCATTCTAAAATGTGTGGCAGATTTACTACACAAAATTCTTGCTAATTTCTCAACACAATAAGCATCCTTCTCACTTCTATTCCACCATCTTTTTTCAGTTGAAATTATAACAGCTAGCAGATTATATAACAATTGTAGTTAACTGAAGTTGACTAGTTAGTCAACATTAACTACGGCAATGGCAGCCTTTTTTAGTTGACTCACACTGAAACAAGAACCTTGCAAAAACATTCACATCGTGGCTCCATACAGTACATGATAAAATGAAAATGCTAACATCTGCTCCAGGTACAAAGTTAGCATTGTTAGATCCATGTTTTGTTGTTTGTGTAGTAACATAATGCTAACTTGAGTGATGTTGGCTAGCTATATAGAAAACTTTTCAAATTCATTACGCACATCGACTAAATGTTGTCCTAAAATCAGATTTTGTAGCATTTTGGTTCACACAGTCCTGAGAATGGGTTTTTTCTAAGTAAACTTCCAAAAACATTTTTTAGGTTACGACTTGTGAGCTAGTTTGCCAGCCATGCTGATGTTGGCAGCTTTTGTTAGAGCTGTAAATTGTTGCAGATAAACAGTTTATTGACTCCTTACAATTACACTGTCCTATTTTTGATGTTTGAAAGGCTAATAACAGAAGACAGAAAGGTCTGGACACTAAAGTATAATCTGTATCCCATTAAACAATAAAAACCCATTTTCTGTTTTTCTGTTTAAAACCAATAACAGACAAAACAACAAAAATAAAAGGTCAGGGTACAAAAGTACATTTCATTTTCCAATCAAAAACCCAAAAATTTGAAAATGGGAGGATTTTTTGTTTTTACCATTTTTAACCAACAATTTCAAAACAAGGAAAAGGGGCCATTTTCCCATTCTTCTAATATCTGTCAACATTGAAAACCAAATTGAACAAAGTCTCGTTTTGACCCGTATGCATCTCTTTAGTACAAAGAAACTGGACAATCACCATTTGGGGCAGGAATTTAGCAAATGGTCAGTTATCTTAATTCATAATTAGAGTCCAGGATGTAGTTCTAAGTATTGGAATGGGGCCTATGCAATACTTTTAAATAGTACATTACAGAGGCACTGAAATCTGTGTATTGTGTTTTCCCCTCGTGATGTGTTATGATTTTAGTGATAAATGGATCCGATAATTCATCCACAGTGTGAAGAAATTAGAAGGTATGGTGATAGGAAAAGTGTGATAAATGTGTGTATGTAGTGGGACTTTTAGAGAAAGTCTTGACATTAAGTATAAAACATCATTATCTAGAAATTAAATGTGTTTTTTTTGCACAAAGATCCACAAAGCCAAAATCAAAAATCAAGATGCACGTTTCACTGTATGACTGTTGAAAAAAATGAGTTTTATGTATCCTATCCCTTTAAATTTACTGTAAACTATGACAACAGCAACCAAAGAGTCAGTCACCTCGACCCCTCGTCTTCCAGATGAGGAGCGCTGTAAAGCTGTTGTAAAGCACAACGTTGGTATTTGCACTGTTTTCGTCCTTTTAAGCTAAGTATGTACAAAGTTGTCGTAATGAAACTGTGCACTGAAAGGATCTGTTGAACTCAACCTAAAACCTCCTTCCATGCAGCCAAACTCTCGAGGCTGGTTTTAAAGAAATGGATGAAGCCTAGAATCAAACAAAAACATCCATCTGGTGGAATTTAAAAAATAAAAGTTGTTGGACTGGGATCTGTCCAACATCTTTGGACCTGTCCTGCTAAAGTGAAAGTGGCAGAATTCTGGTCTGCACTTCTGTTTTATATTCTGTCTCATTTTTTAAAAAAAGAGGGTGTTTTGTATCATTTCCAGCAATCTAATGAAACCAGGCTGAGTTGTGGGTTATATTTAGTTTGTTTTCTTTCTCTCTAAACAAGTAAAAACCACTGACCCTTCTTGGTAACTTTTGCAATTTACATTTGTGTTCATACTTTGTTTGCAAGATAATTCAGGAAAGAATGTGCGGTATTTATTTATTTTTCCATCTTTAGGACATCAAATTCACGTATCTGTGCTGAAATGTGCAAAATGTACTGACTGCGTGGAAAAGTACATTTAATGTGCTTTTACCAAAAAATCAATTAGAGTCCAAGGGAATTTGAAGATATATTTAAATCCGCTCTTTTCTGTAACTTCCCATCAGAATACGAAACCAAGAGCTATAAATCATACAGTTTGTGACTCTGTTCCCGACATAGATTCCCCAAAGTACTTCAAAATCAAAGTTCAACTCTGGTTTCTGTCAATTCCAGCTGCAATAAATCTCTGAAGAGCAATTTTGCATACGAAAGACAACAACAGCATGAACAGATAGTTAAATATTTGAGGTGTTTATTCAGATTTTAGTGTGATGGATGGGGATGTAATTACTACACTGTGTCACAATCAGTGCAAGTAGATGCAACGACCATGTACTTCAGTTTCCACAGCTGTGCTGCTGTTTAGTTGTTAGGAAGGACCTTTGGGTACCCATACATGTTCAGATTCATGTTGTGAGATGTGTTCGTGTATTTTCATATGTTATGTACAGCCACTGATGTTTTCTGCCAACACAGGCATCGGTTTTAACATGTTCATCCTGTTTTTGTCTCTTAAGTGGCTGAAGTTGGGTGGAAACCTTGTGAATCCAAAGTGACTTTTCTGGATCACAGTGCATTTTAGACTTTGTTCACTAAGTTCTAAAGGGCTTCATGGGATCAAAAAACTCACAAAAGGAGCAGGACATCCCTCTGATGAAATTAAAGTCGCCCAAAAAAAGGATTCATATGTTTTTCACATGACATCAGCCAAATGTTTGACATTATTAATTTGGAGACAAATATGTAGCTGCTAGGATTTTGTGTCATTTGCCAAGACAGAAAACCCCCAGGTCCATTAGAAAACACAAAAAGCCATGTTACTGTACATTCAGCCCTGAACTTGCATGACAGTCAAATGCTGGCTTCATTAAAGTATTGTAGGCTTCCTGTTGTCTCCCATTCTTGAAAACCAGACGTGTCTCACTGTTTACCTGTATACTTGTTCTCTGCTCAATTGACATTGATCAGATTAATAAAATCTATCAGACTGCTGTGTAAAGTGATTTTTTTTTTCTGTCTGTGAGTTTATCTGTTTAAATAATGGGCATTTACACATTTTTCAGAACCATGCGCAGCTAAATGATGGATCTGAATAAACTATGCTTTCCAAAGGTCACCAGTATTTGCAGAAAGTTTACATTTCTCCAAATACCTACACAACAAATGACATTTAGTTACCTTCAGCTATTGCTCATTTAATGCTTATTAACAAATGCTAGCTCAGTGAAACAATAGGCAGTACTGCAGTCACATGTGACCAACAGGGGGCGTACTAACACCACCTGTGCCTTTAATCCATATATAATGTTATAGAACTTCTGTTCCAAACATGTTGAGGATACATGCTATCTATATATACACTGTAAACTAAGATATATCAAAACTTATGTCCTGCTATCAAAAGGAGAAAGCAATTCAATGCCCTGATCAAATTACAGGGTACAAAAATAAACAGAAAATTGTGTCACGATTACAAGAATAGAAATCTAGTTAAGCAGCAGACATTACTACATATGCCAGGTGAGGAATGCACAATGTATTCTAAGTTGATTAATCGCAGTATTGTGGACATTTTAGCCACTAGAAGGGAAACCGAGCAGTGTTTTTAAGTCCTACTATCTCCTACACATACATTCACATGGAAAAAAAAAAAAGAAATTGTTATTAAATTGTTGTTAAATATTAATGTTCAGTAACTTATTCAACAGGAATATCAATAGATGTGAAAAGTCAGTACACCCATGGCCTGAGAAGCTAGAATTGCCCCTTTTTGCAGCAATAACTTCTTGTTTTCCATAACTGCCCAGCCTTTGGCATCGTTTGCTGAAATGCTTGACCGCTCTTTCGTGCAAAATTCCTTCCATCGCAAGTTGTTTGAGGATTTTCTTTTCCGTTTCAAATCTCCCCACAACATTTCAATCAGACTGACAAGGCCCTTCCATAACGCTTCATTTCTTCTGTTGGAGCCATTTCTTGATGGATTTTTGAGTGTGCCGAGGGTCATGATCCTGCGGTCCACCTCTGATTCACCTTCAACTTTTAGACTGATGGCCTCACGTTGTACCAGTGACTACAAACTGCCCCGTTCCCGAGGCAGCAAAGCAACCCCAAACCGTAACATCTCCACCAACACGCTTCACCGTTTCACAGTGAAAGGCACCAAACATGCCAACTGTCGCTGTAGCCAAACAGCTATATCTTTGATTCATCTGTCCACAGCCTATTATTCCAAAATGCCACTTCTTTGCCAATATGTTCACTGGCAAAGTGTAGTTGTGCTTTAAAATTCTTTGAGAACAGCAAAGACTTTTTCCTGGCTCGCCTCTCACGCTGGTCAGACTTGTAAAATGTCTTTCTGGTTGAGGGTGGATGCACTTTGACACCATTAGTTAAAATCTACCTGCAGATACTTTTGACACGTGACTAATATGTTAAAAATGTCAATTTAGTATCTCATTTATTTGAACATTTCAACTTTATCCAGGGATCAAAAGTTGGGTTGTCAAAAAGCCTTCAACTTCCATGGGATGTATTTACTTTTTCAAATGTATGCACACTGGGATGTCCACACTCACATGTGCACACGTATGATTCACAGTCCTGCTGATAGTGTCCCACTAATCTACTGATTTATGGCTGTAAGAAAAGGCAGCAAAAACAAAGGTAGGGAAGAAAAGGACTGCCAACAAATAAACCATAAGCTTCGAATTCTTAAAAAAATATATATTTTCAAAAAAGTGCAGATAATGACTCCACTGAATAGTAAAAATCAAGAATTAGGTTTTAATTCAGTGATTCATTTCTTACCTGGTGTGTAAATGTATTCTACAACTGACATTTTGAATCAACAGTATTATAGGTATATTTTTAGTTTACCTATACAATTTAATATGACCTTAACAGATCTTCACTGGGTTCCACATCTATCTAAATTAGTCTTTTCTTCTCTTCTTTTACCTCAATTTCTAGTATTTTTGTTCAGTATTGTACCTCCACAAGACTCTAAAAAGTATTCATTTTAAATAAGCTCAGAAGGGAAGCTGTGATGAGAAGGCTGCATAAATTGCTGCTTTGTATTAAGCTGTCACTGTTTTAGTTGTTCATTATGGAGGACATAAACTCACATTACTATGCTTTAAGTTTAAAGCTAACTTTCAAACATCATGTGTCCAAACTGGTGAGTAAACTACATTAAAAAATAGTTGTTTTTAAATTAATAAAATTATGTTTCTCACTGTATTATAGAAAACACTTTTAAAGGCAACTTTTCTATCGGTACATACATGCATCAGTGGCAACTTTTAAGCTCTTGGACACTGATTGCATTCAGATGCATTAGTGGTGATAGTTCATCATAGTGAGCTCTATGCTGAGGCTGGGAGGCCCTCATTCTCTGGGAGGCGCGAGAGACTTCTGGGTTTTATTGATTTTGAAAGGTTCTTACCCTCTTACGTATTTTAATGTGGGCTCTTACCCGACACGCTCCAATGACTGTATTATGCTACGGGTGCCAGCTGTTTTTACGAAACTTGGAAAATCTAGTTTTACCCACTGTGCACCTGCAACCTGGAATAACCTGCCGAACAATCTGAAACTTGACTCCGTTTTATCCTGTGGGCATTTCAGGCTTTTCATTTAATCATATTTTCCTTTCAACTGTTCTTGATTAAGTTGATTAATTTGTTGTTGTTTTTTTTAAGTTAAATGCTCCAATAAATATCTGTATTATTTAGCAACTTTGCCTTTTATTTTCCTATCATTATTGAAATCCTTATGGTGTGCATACATATTTTATTTTCTTATTCAGCTACATTGTAAATGAGATCTTCATACCTTAACATACTTGCTTTTATAATCATTTATTTTTGCTTCCACAGCTTTATTATACAATTAACGATATGATCTGAAGATATTTATGTGTAAACATGTTTACAGGGTTTGTTTTATTATCTATTAGCATTTTCTCAATGGACACTGGATCCTCCACTGTCCTCGGGGGTCACCTGTTGATGGGACAGTGGAAATAAAACCTCCTCTCAGCACTCCGGTGTGTCTTTACCGCCACCGTGTGGTGCCAAGCGGCACTGCTGCACACATGAATGGCACAGAGTTCGAAGCCTTGCAAGTTGATGAAAGTGATTTGACAAGCAGCGGAAGCTCCGGTGCGACTCGTAAGCTTTCCTTGTGCTCACCTCGTTGGTTTTTTTTGGCGGATGCCAGCCGCTATCACAACATCAGGGCTCGCTGAGGGCGCACGCAAAGTTCACCTCCAGCAGTGCGTGTGTGTGTGTATGCGTGTGTGTGAATTCATGTGTGCTCAGTCTGTCTGTCTATTAGACTGACCCCCCAGCACGCTGTTTAAAGGGAAGACAAGAGAGCTGAGTCAACGAATCACAAGGAGAAGGATGCAACAGTTGATGTGCGCAAGTTGCACAGTTTTCTTGTGTTTGGAGACGGCCTGCACACAAGGAGGATTGTGGCTATGATCTGTGTGGAGAAAGGATCGGATGTTTTGCTGCTTTAGAACTCATCTGTCAGATAAAATCAAACAGCAGATCTGCGCTTCTTCCAAGCGGCGGGTGTAAGTTCGGCTGTCCACTCGCGTTGTCTTTTTCTCGCCAAAATGGACATTTGGACTGAAGTGCATTTGGAGGGACTTCATGCTCTGCTGGAATGGAGTTGAAGTGGGGATTTCGGATGGTCTGCGGCGGTGAGTAGCAGTGCAGTCTGCACCAATATGCATCGGATTCTGCAGAGGAGGCGAGTGCGCAAGCTGCGGGTCGTCTGGGCTTCTCTGGCCCTGGTGGCTCTGTCTCTGGCCGCATGCAGCGCGCTGTTTACGGCGTGGACTTGGCGACAGACGCGGGACCTGTCTCAGTCCTTCAAGATCCTGCAGGACCGACTCGAGCAGGTTTGTAGAATACTTTTCAAAAGTCATCCGAGCCTACAAACATCCCCCCCTCCGAACGGCATGCATATTTGTCCCAACAATAATATTTACTCGCCTGCAACTTTGACGGACCTTCAAGTGTTTGTTATGTAACTTCTTTTGTGGCTGCGGTTACGGGAATCTTGGCGGGAGGTACAATATATGGACAAATGCAGTTCCACACTTCACCCCCCTTTCCTCTCGCCCCCTTGCACCATTTCTCTGCTTGGCACTTTTATTACTTACCAATAAGTGCAGTGAAATTGTGCGGAGTTTATTTTTGTATCCACCCCCTCTGTTTCCCCCCGCCATGTTTAATTACTCTGGTGCCTGTTGTGCTCCAGTTTTATCTCAATTTACTGGAAAGCCTCAACTATTTGGCGTATGAGCACTTCATACCCCACTGACTGCACTGAGGCTTGAGGCTACAGCAGCCTGGATGATAAAGTGCGGCAAGTGTAAATCATTTGCAGCCTGCATAGCCACTTTTCATGCACATGACAGCATGAGCAAGATTTAAATCAGACTTGAACTTGCAGAAAATAGCTCTAAATCTCATGCAAAGTGCACTTTTTAAGCGTCTTGCACTTGCAGCGAATGTTAGACTCCAGCATGAAGTTGCATCACAAGGCAAAAATACTTTGTGAAAGGAGCCAAAAGGAGCTGATGGAAATTCTTCTGGTTTGAAGTTCACAGTATTTACAAAACCAGGTTGCACTGGGTTTCAGATCAAGAGGACAGGTTGGCTGTGTATCATGTTGACAGAGTTGAACCGACACACACACACACACACACACACACACACACACCCCAAAATTGGACACGTGGAGTGTTGATGCTGGAGCCTTTCCCAAGGGGCCCTGTTCTGTCCATTTGACCAGTGGCCAACTCCTGATGAGAGCCAGTGAGTGAACGTCTGGAGAGCGAAGTGCAACTCTCTGCCTCCATTTCCACAGTAGCAGTAAATTTAAACATACTTTTCCTGGAGCTAGCTCGCCTCTTAACTTGATATAGGCCTCCTTCGGTCATTAAGTGGGCCCCCAGCCAAGGATTTAAAACTTTGCTACCTGAACAAAATGCATTTCTTTCTCCAAAAAAAAAAAGAGACACGAGGAATGTAAAGCACTAAAAACATGCATTAGGTGTCGCAACCAGTCTCTCTGAGGAAGTGGTAGATCTAAAGCTAGCATGGCAGCAGGGGCAGGATGCTGGAAAAGACGGGCCTGCTTATGTGGCTGGCTGGCTGGCTGGAAGAGGCTGTCTGTGGCTATGTGGGTTCTGTGCCAGAAAAAAAGTCATAAGAAACTAACTGGACATTTGTTAATAGTGTGGTTTTTCCTCTCTCGCTCTTTCAACAGGTCAATACACAGAGGAAGGCCATTGTTCAGCTCATTCTGGAGAAGAGAGAGCTGCTGGTGGGGCAGAGAGTCAAGAGAGACGGTACTGCAAATCAAAAGTCTGCCAGAGCTGCATTTCTTAACCTCACCACCACCGACATATAGAAGTTCTGTGCTTTTTAGCCGTCCAGATCACCACAGACACAATATACTTACCAACTGCACTCCGTTGTTTTTTTGGGAAGAACATTTAACACAAACGCTGGCCAGTCTTGGCCCACATGCCACTTTGGTCGGGTCTAGTGGGCCGCAGGCATTACCCGCTGCTAAAAGTTGACACAGGAAAAAGTAGGCAGCTGGATGACTGTTTCAGAAATTACAGGTCTGACCAGAACGGCCTCGAAGCCCAGAAAACCAGCTGGCGCGGGAGTGAGGCCTTGTTGCACGCTTTCGGGCAATGGAATTGATTTTTTCCCCGCCCTGAGCACACGACTGACACAGCTATGATTTGTTGTGAAAGCAGTGATATTTGATGACCTATCATTGCAGTATTTATAGCTTCTGCTTGCGTCACCATCATGGGACTGCTCGATTGTTCACGTTTTGTCCGAGAGTGAACCCTCAGACGCCTTCGTGCTGGATTTCACTTGAGGGATGAATGTCCAAACTTGACAAAAGGATTCATTTAGAGAGCAGCGTGTCGCGCCAGAATATCTATATTGATATCCTCTTGGTACTAACTTTTTTCTTTAGTAACTGATATCTGATTTTGTCTTCCAAAACACATTAACAGTGTTCAGAAATTCATGACTATCAATGGAAAAAAAAAAAAAGCCCAAACAGCTTTTTCCAGTTTGTGGAAAGTTGACCGCCGCGGTGCAGCGTTTCAGCAGGACACTGCTTTTATGTTCTCTCCTCATGACTGACAGCTTAAGTCGGGAAAATCTGGCCAGCCTCAGGGCTTTACGCTCGCCCATAGCAAATCCTAAGTCTACAGGGTGACCCACCTGTGAGTTATTTTAGCAGGAGCTTAATATTCTTGAATGATGGCGGGGGCCCCGGTGTTTGGGTGCTCCGTCCTGAAACATAAAGTATGTATTTCACAGTTCATACGCAGAGTATTTGAGTCGTATCAGTGTTTGAAATCGCTCCCTGCAGGCCAAATTGCGAGGCTAAAATAAACCTTTAGTGAGTAACAAGAGCAGGCGTTCTTCTGCTCTGGCCTTTTAGTGTTGTGTTTTATTTATTGTATTTATCTGAGCAGGGGCCGTAGCTGTTGCTTCACTCTGTTCTTAATCGACTCTTTTGGGTCACAGAGCAGCCAAAGACCTTTTTGACTCTCTTTTTCCAGCACTTCATTTTTCTTATTTAGCCTTCTAGCCCTTCAGCTTTGTCTCATAATGCATGCCTTTAATGCTTTCTTATTCACTTTTCCTGTGTCCATCTTTTCTTTTTCACCCCTCCAACACTCAGACACACACCGCTCTCCATCCTCTTTCTTCTGTCCTTTCTCTGAATTCTGTATTTTCTAGATGACTGCGACCAGCTGGCTCGAAGATTAGCCCCCACAGGGGAAAAAAAATAAAAGAGGCACACGCTTCTGACTGAAAATAACAGTTTAAGGAAATATATTGAAGCACGTGAAAGGAAATCCTTTGCCCATCTGCTAACCGCATTAAAACTGGCCAGGTTGAGTCTAAATGGCAGCAAATTAACACACCATGTTATTAGACAGATACAGATGGGAATGATTGTTTTATCAAAAAAAAAAAACCCACAGACGTTATTTTCTTTGCATTCAAACTCATATTTTGTCTTTCTTTGCCTTCCGAAAGGGGGGACGTTGCGAGGGAGGAATGGAAATGGAAAGAAAGCGGCGTCTCATTTTGAGAGTAAGTGGCTTGGCAGATCCCTTATAGCCGTCTCGTGTAGCATCTGCTGAAGTGTTTTCAATCATATACCCCTATACGATTGCGCTCATAAAATCTTAATTGACTTTCCCTTTTCTTTCTCTTTCAACATCTCTGTTACTTTCCATCAGTAACCAAAGTCTCCTCTCAGCAAGGTAAGAGTCATAAAAATGAAGGACAGAGGATCATCTTTGAATCTTCAGTCTATAAGATGAATAACCTGGAATATGTGTGTGTGTGTGTGTGTGTGTGTGCGCTATAGTGGGAGAAGGTGGTGTGATAAAGGGCTGGGAAGAGAGAACGTTGAATATGAGCAAAGCGGTGAGGTACAACAAGGAGCAAGGCACCTTCACTGTCGAGAAAGCGGGTGTCTACTTCCTGTTCTGCCAGGTGAGTGTCTGCTGGGAGTTGTAGTTTATTTTAAACTACAACCTCCTCATTTTCCGCACATGCCAGCTGCCTCTACTTTAAAGCTGCACTAATAATTCATTTTAAATAAACAATGGATCAAATGACAAATCTGTAATATTAAAGCAGTCGCAGAAGTGCAAAGTTCATCTTCTGTCTTTGCAGCCTCCTCAGTGCTATCAACCGTTTTAGCATCTATTAGCTCTTTGTTTTGGTCTCCTAGCCGGCAACTTAAAACGTTTAGTACACTGCCGTTAACCTCAAAGTCTTTGTCAACTGTCTCTAGGCAGCTGTTTTTAACACAAACTGTGGTTATGAGACGCAGTTAGCGACTAGCCTGTGCAACATGGAGTAGCTAGCACCAAAAGAGCAAGATAAAGACCAAAGCAGAGCTAAAAGGACTGCTAATGTTGCTGGATGTGAAAATAAGCAAACGCTTGGTGACACATTTGCTATATGAAGTGATAATATGTCATTTTTAATTGCTGAAAAATGTATTAATGCAGCTTTAAATTGCACAATGACTAGTATACATTTTGATAATCAGTGTCAACATACAGCATCTGTGAACATTAGCTAATAGATTTGTTAAGTAGTTCACTATAAATTTAAACAGCAACATTTTGTTATTTCAGTGAGTTGAAGGCTATTATCCTGTTGGTTTCAAGTGATTCTGAGGAAGGGCTATGTGTCATTGTCAAGCAAACGTCATCTACAGGATTATTTTAATATTTCATATTGTTTTCTCAAATCAGAAAAAAGGGTTTACTAGAAAGCATCCTAATGTTTTTTTGAGTTGTCAAAAAAAATGTGGTTTCAGCCTTTTCAACGAAACGCAGATCCAAGGTAAGGTGGGCCGTCTCCAAAAAGTCGTTTCAGATTTCGTCTTCCGTACTTCCTGAGGTTAAGTGATGAGATGAAATCTTTGTCAGCTATAGTGAATCAACAAAGTCTTGGGTTTATAAAAGCAGTCTTTATTTGGTTCAAGCAGTCAGACTGTATCATGTCTTCAGAGAGGCGAATATCAGGTTTCGGGTAATCTCATGCAGCCAGACCGTCGTCTTGTTAGGCTGACAGAAGCCTGGAGAAAATCGAGTTAAAAACAACAACAAAAAAAACGTCCTGATAGCAGGAATTTTGAAATCCTGAGGCAGTCTGGTTAGTTTTCATTTGAAAAGCACAGAAACAAGTGCTCCCTGTGGCTCGGCTGACGTCTCTTGATGAAGATTTCTTGACCTTCTCTTCCTCCTAAGGTGTTGTTCAATGAGCAGCAGTCTCAGTATGTGAAGCTGGATGTGGTGACCAGCGGCCTAAGGCCTCAGAAGCTGCAGTGCATGGAGGGATACGGGACGACCCCCTCTGCCGGGCCGCACCCCTTCCACTTCCTGAAGCCCTGCCAGGTGTCTGGCCTCCTGCGACTGGACAAAGGCACGGAGCTGCAGGCCATTACAGGCTCGTCCTTCAGACTCCACACTGTAGGCAATCCTTCAGCCTCGCCTCATGTCTTCAGCATCTTTAAAGTCAACTGAAGCTCGGTGCTCAGCTGAGCTGGGTTGGAAACTTTTCACAAGTACACAAACTCATCTGAGTGCAGCAAAATTAACTTGTTTTTGTACGGATCAGAGGTTTTCTCTACATGGTGAAACAGTCATAAGCAGTCAAAGCATCACATAATGCTCCAGCTTCTTCCCAAAGACGTTAATTTGAAAGACAAACCTGACATTTGTGGAAGCTGTTATGGAATTTTTCTCTGGACTGCGGGGCTGTTTTGGAACGCAGATTTTGGATTAAAACCAAGACCCACAGTGAACAAATGCCTCGATGAATGTCTGCCGAGAGAACAGATGTGATGGAAGCTGCTCTGTAGATACAGAGCTTCATATAAAAAGAAAATTCCTTGGATGTTCATCTTAGCCTTTGTATCATGCAATAAATTGTGCTTACACTCTTTTTATAAGACTGAGAGTAAAACTGTGCATGCACCTTCCACTTCCACAGCTGAGAGCACGTCTGTGGACGTCTCGACACTATAAAGGCTACATGACTTGTCATTGATATTTTATATAATGCAGCGTATGTGTGTGTATGAAATCTAACGAATCAAACTACTCTTGTTTAAACTGATTTTATGATCTAAACAATGCAATGTGTATAAGAGAGTGTGAAATTACTGCAAGTCTTTTTTTTAAATACTTTGTATATATGTCACATTTTACGTATGTGCATCAAGTCAGGAGCTGGCAAAGAAAAGGGGAACATTTTAAATAACATGGATGTGAATTTGTTCTCTTTTCTAGGGTCAAATGATTGTTTGTGTACTTTTAAAAAGAAGATGCAAGTTATAGTCAGCAAAGCATACAGCTTTAAATACAGCTTTCTCTGTCGTTTCTTCTTCCTACTCCAGTTTGATGACACAATAACCATCACTTCCATGCTTGTTTGTTAGTGATCTGACAATTGTTAATCAGTCAGTCTAAACAGAAGTGGGGAGGCCCTAACACATCTAAAACTATGGTGTAAGTAGAAGTTACCATTGAATTTTCTTTTCTTTTTTTAAATCAAGTACACAAAGTGTGAAGAACTTTACATAAATTATTTACTTACAAATAACCATAATAATCAGAAAGTGAAACATCAAAAACTATTCGATGGACTTCCATAAAATCAGTGCCCACATTCAGTCATGTGTCAGGATGAACTGTAATCACTTTCTAGAGCCATCAGCAGGTCAAGACTTCAGTCTGTCCGATAGTTTTGTGTGACTAAATTCATATAAGACTGCAATTCACATCAGCCTTAGCTAGATTTTGTATTTTGTACATAGTCTGTGTATAAAAGATGGAAGTAGCCTGCAGGTCTGAAAAGTAAAGCCAACAGGAGTGCCTTAAACCTGCTTTTTTGTTTTTTTACAACAGTCAGCAGGAGGCGAGTTCTCTAACATAGAAGTTAATGAGAAAATGAACCTGCTTCTCAGTTGATTTATTTCCTCAGTCAGCATTTTCCCAGTGAGCTTATGGTACCAATTAATAGTTTCAAGTTTCCTTCAATACAGCAATTTTGCTCATTTAGTAAATTATGGTCCCATTTAGAGTGAAATAGACAATAAAGCGGGATTTGCTTTAGGGTGGGGCTTCCTTGTGATTGACAGGTTGCTATTACTACTCTATTGCAGTGTGTAATGTCCTGAATGAGTTCTCAGGTCTGCTCTCACTCATCACAGGGAGATCACAACAGCTAACTTCCAAATTAGATGCTTCAAAGTTGTCCACAAACCAGTTGTTAATGTCACTGTAGGTACATTCATCATTCATATACAGTCTATGTTTTTACATTAACTAGCATTAACATTAGCACACTAACACGATAAACATGACATAAATTACACCTGCCAAACATCAGCATGTTAGTATGTACACCGTCACAGAGCCATAAGTGTGGCTGTCACTCTTAACATTAGCCTTACTTTGTAATCAATTATCACAGCGAGTTGCTTATTTTAATAATTAAAAAAAATGCTAATATTATGGTGCAACTTTACACATCAATACATATACCCTCACCAAAGTCAACTTAAAGTTACTCCATAGTCTGTCTCGCCTCTATTGTATTTTTGATTTTTAGTGCTAATTAGCAAATGTTAGTATGCCAGCACATTAGACCGAGTTACACTATTTATACTGTCATTTGGAGCGTTAGCTTGGCAGCAGCTGGTGTGGCTGGAGACTTTCTTCTTGCCCTGAGGATGTGGCTTAACTTGGTTGTTGTTTTTTTCTTTTTTTGTTTTGTTTTTTTTACTGAATTTATAAAAGCCAGCAATTAGGAGTTTGTCTTCACTGTAAATCACTTGTGTGACACCAAAGCACGACTCTGCAGAAGCATGGACAAGATCCAACATTCATTTACAATGGAGCAGTTCCAGGTTGTACGCCTTGATAACCTCGAAAATAACCAGAACGTTCTGGTTATCTGGCTTCAGGCTGAGAAAGAGTGGGAAATGGTGTGACACTGAAACTTGTGCTTAAACTCCAAAGATCTATATATCCATGTGAGACATGCAGAATGTTTATCAGTCACTTCTTTACTTTTATACCTTGTTTGAAATTAAACTCCCTCCATTCTCTCATATGCTGCTGCTTTCTGTAATATTCCCTGCTACAATACAAACAGTGTGTATTTCTAGCAGTGGGTTTCAGCACTCCCACTCTTGTTTATAAGTAGTTTTTGTGGACGGACCGCATTGGTTTCTCCTCAGCACTTTACTGCAGCGATCGTAGTGTTTTTAATTGGAGCCAAACATTCATGTTGTCAAATGGAAAAATGTCAGATTTTAGAGTGTAGACATTATATCCTGTTTGATTTCCTCATCGTTTTCCTCTTTCCTTTTTGTGTCTGTCACCCCCTACACATCCCTGTGCACCTCATGTTTCCTTGTCACCGCCGATCACACCGCACACACACACACACACACACACACACACACACACACAGCCCCTTGAGTGTCCTCTCTGCACACACACACACACCAGCAGCAGCCATCTAAATTTTCACTTCCTGAATCTGAACCTGAACCACATAGCTCAAAGCCTTTGAGGAAAAACATGCCTTGTCCCTCCCCCGTCACCACACACACAGTCGTACACACTTCCCTGCCCCGATTCCTTTTTCCCCTAAATGTCAAAGTTTACTACCACCTCGGAAAATCTTGTGAAGTCTTGTGAAGAAGTTGCCTGTAAAATGATGATGTATGCATTGCCTTAAAGTTTTGATTTCTTCCAACTCACTCACCATAAATGTTGAATAAACCTTTCTTGTTGTTTTGATATTTTAACTGTTACACTTTCAGTTTTTTAGTGAAAAAATGAACTATAAAAGGAGGTAAACTGTTAAAAAATTATTATGAAATAAAAGGGATGGGATACACAGTAAACTTGAATCTGCACTGCTAAATATTTTCATTGCACCAGTGGGTTAAATAATTGTTCTAATTATGAAGTTGTGTGTAATGATAAACTGACAGGTAAACACCACTTTGCTGTTTCTCTCAGCTGTATAATGTGTCTTAACTTCTTTGAGCTCATTGTTCTGGTTTTACAGCCTGCGGCTTTCATGTCTTGGTTCACTGTCACTGCTTCATCAGCACTGTTCCACCCACAAAAAAATGATTTCTGCGACGATTTTACAAGATGTGACCAGCACCGAATGGCAGACAAAGTTAACATTCATCTTGTAAACAGAGTGCACGTTTAGATGCCACATATTCTTTTCAAAGTTGATGGAGGCCAAATGCAGAGTGAATATTAGACTTGAATTCATCAGGTGGCCTGAAACATGCATCAAAACGGACTCAGTGTAGGTTCTTGTCTGCTCCATGTGTATGACTAATAGCCAATATGTTAGCCTGAACATCTTTTATAGGGCAATAAAAAAAGAGTCCTACATGTTGTTGTGTTGCACCAAAAATGGCAAAAAAAATATAAGCCAACCTTCTTACTATTTGAACTCTTATCATGCAGTATGTCAAGGGCTTAGCGATGGTCTGAGCTGTGAGCAATTCAACACGGGGGAATTTTTCAGATGGTTACAGTTGAATAAGTCTTATCAATGTTCGGCCTTCGCGGACTAGTTTAAATATATTTCCAGCGCTATCAGTTAAACTCGCCTACATTTTAACATCTATTCTGGAGGGACCTGAACTCAGAGAGCGTTCACCCAAGACAGTCAATAAATTCTGTGTAATGAGCCTGTCAGTGTGCACTTAATGGGAATTGACTTAATCTCCAGACTCTTCCATTAGCAATCATAAAGCTGTGATAACAGTAAACAGTGAACTGTGAGGCATCAATCTGCTCTGAATAACAGAGCAAAATGACTCTTCACCGTTACTCATCGTGAATCACTAACCAGCTGCTCCTCGGGGTTGTTTGGTGTGTGTGGGAGACAGAGGAAAGTGTCATAAAGGCCTGTGAAGAGCAGACACTGAATCAGTGTGTTGTTCTCACAGCCTCTCATATTTGCAACTTCCCGCTTCGATGTGGCATTGACCGCCGCCATCACAGAGGACTGACTCAGCATTTTTTAGTCTCTGAGGATGACTGTAGTTTGCTTAGTCATGAGATGAAGTTCTCTTTACTTACTTTTATCAATGAAAGATGAAAAGTTGTTTACACAGCTTGAAGCTCACATGTAGTAAACATCCACCCATCCATTATCTATACACCGCTTAATCCTCACTAGCGTTGCGGGGGGCTGGAGTCTATGTAGTAAACATGACGCATATGAAACTTTACAGCCTATATTCTGTACAGGGTTTGATTTACCCTCAGTAGCTGAATTATTCAGTCATAGTTTAGTGAAATGTACATAAATGTTGTTCAGCACAGTATATGCTCCTCTGTCTGCCTTTACAATACCCAACTATTCACAAAGTCTTCATAAATACACGTAAAACGAAGAAAACAAATGACAAGAAGTTTACATCAAGTGGTATTTGCACAATTATGAGACAATGGTGAATTGTTAAAAATATTTAAAATAATACAAATTAACTACCACAACAAACAACACAAGCCAAACTTATTCAAATAAATATAAGCTTTAAAATGCAGCCTTGCAGGACTGGCAGATGGGAATTATTATAACCTGAAAAAAAGGGTAATCCAGTTGAATGATACTTCACCGTACCATCCAAAACGAAATATCTGATTATACTCATCTTTAATATCTCCATGACTGGAAACCACAGACTGTCTAGGCTACAATAACAAACATTTCTGCCAGTGAAATTTCCAGAGACTACAATAATATAAAGACAAGGAAAGACTTAATATACTGTGTATTTATCACTGACTACAACCAGGAATGCAGTTTCCCTCACTAACAGTCTGCAACACTAATGACCAATAATTTACATAAAGAATAATTGCTCAACTGGATGTAACACAGCCACAGACACTTAATGCTCACTGCAAAAGGTAAAGACAGATAAAGTAAACACTAGTTGAATTATAACCTAAATAGAACAGAACAGAACAGAACAGAACACAATAGAATAGAACTTTATTGGCTCCGCTGTGCAAAGTATGTGATCTCTCCCAACCCGACATGTCAAACGTCACCCACACTGAGGCCTTATTTCTATTTAATTATGGAATTATTTTAAATGAACTGACAGAAGACTGATCTAGAGAAGGGAATTTAGCAAAAAAAAAAAAAAGTCATAGTGACTTGTGGAAAAAATGTATTGGCTTCGCTGGTCATGATGATGTTTTAATGGGAGTCTATAGGAGCCAGAGGTCTGTGGAGCCAGTGCCCAGCAGTGCTCGGTGATATTGCACTCTAAGGCACTTCCGCTTCAGCTTCTCTTTTCAAAGCCAGTCACTATGTCCACATTTTTCATAGTCTATGGTCAAGCTGCTGAAAACAGCTGCTCAGCTGAAACACACGTCCACAAATACTGTCGATGTATTTCTCCTCAGAGCAAAATGTCACTGATACACTTCATCACTGTAGTTTGAACGTTGCTGGAAGCATGTAATTAGAGCTTTGCTACTCCTGGACATTAGCAGCATCAGACGCTACAGCTGCTCTCTGGTGACAGACTCTCAGCTCCTACCATACGCTTTTACACCTGCAGAGTTCATCAGCACATCTGCCAGAAGATCACTTTAGGCAACACTTACAGGGGTCAGTAAACACACCCCTAACTCCATCTGCCATCCATCCATTATCTATACACTGCTTAATCCTCACTAGGGTCGTGGGGGGCTGGAGTCTATCCCAGCTGACTCAGGGTGAAGGCAGAGGACACCCTGGACAGGTCACCAGTCTATCACAGGGCTACACTTAGAGACAGACAATCAAGCACACTCACATTCACACCTACGGACAATTTAGAATCACCAATTAACCTCAACATGTTTTTGGACCTTGTGGGAGGAAGCCGGAGAACCCGGAGAGAACCCACGCTGCACGGGGAGAACATGGAGACTCCACGCAGAAAGATCCCGGGTGTCCTCACCGGGACATGAACCAGCACCCTTTTTGCTGAGAGGCAACGATGCTAACCACCGAGCACCCTTGCAGCTGACTCCATCTTTTTAATCAGTAAAAGGTACTTACTCACCCAGTACTACAGCAAATCTATAATATAGTTTTGACAGGTCCCTTGTCTGAGATTTTAATTGATTATTTATGACTGGAACTTAATCAATTAACCCTCCTATTACCTTCAAATTTACTAACATCTTTTATCCTTGGGTTCAATTTGACCCCAACAATTTAAACCTCCAGAAAATATCATAAAAAAAATTGTTACCCAAGTTTATGTGTAAATATCCCTTTAAATAAAACTGAATAAATATGTCAATGACTTATTTAGAGATGTTAAACACTGAATGGGGTCAAACTGATTCCAAAGATAATAGGAGGGTTGACAATATACATCCATATTGAAGCATTTGTTTTTGATCAGTGGTTAGACTTCCTATATGTCTGAGAAAACACACCTACCTCACAATATGTTATGAATGTAGGAGCTGGTTGTTTGACATTTCCACCGTCATGCTTCACCTGCTGACCTGTTGGTTGTTGTTCTCCTCTCAGCTGTGGCTCTCAGCTCAGTTTCTCTTATGCAGTCTCCTCATTTTGGAAAGCTTTGCCAACTGTAAGCACCCAGAATGAGCAACAAAAAGTGTTATATTTACCAATTTAAGCAGGGTATACGCCCATAACAAAAAAAGTAAGGCAACTTCCACCAGTTACATCTTCTGGTTGGTTGTAAATTCACTACAGCCTGTAAGTAGCATGTTAAGGACACAGCTAGCAGCTCATGTCACAAGCTAGACAGAAGCTAACTTACTTTATATGGAAGCTAACGTGGACGTTAACCTTCATAAGCTAATGTTAGCTTCCACGTTAGCTTCCGATTTGAAAGAAGCTTCTATTACATAGCTTCCTGTATGTTAGGTCGTTATCTAGGATTGGTTTACGTAATAGCATAACAAAGCAGCGTATTGTTCAGCAACATTAATGGAGATTTTAATTCATAGGTTATTTCATGAGTTATACTATTCGTTGTTATTCATTTACACAATTTGGAAAGACTCACCGGAGCTCACACACGTCGACGACAAGGCCAAGTTCAGATGCTACAGCAGAGTCCCTTATCTACAGTGTGAACATGTCTGCGTATTGTCACTTTAGCAGTTATGGGCTACTCCTATTAAGGCAGCCACAACAACAAAAATAACACTATTGTTGTTATTAATTTCCCCAGCAAGGCAGCTCCGGCAAGGACTGCAAACTGACAGTTGGTTAGCCTGAGTTTGAGGTGGCTAACGCTAGCTAGTGTTAGCTAACTGTAAGGCAATGTTGCTGCGCAGGTGTTTTAATGAAGTTAATTAAATGGCGCTTGGTTTACCTGTGCCACTCTTACACCGTTTTATATGAGGTTAAAAACATTTTAAAACATATTCATACCTCATAAGGGTACATGTCAGAGGTATGGTTAAACTCTTAAAACATTGGGGATTATCCCAGCACACAAATATGTACATTTTAGCACCATTTTATGTTATTTCAATGTAAAATGAATGTAAAATGTGGGTGAGACAGTGACAAGAAAAGTTCATCTTACTTTGTTCTAAGCTTCGTCTATGTTCCAAATTCATATCAGTCCACAACCAAAGTGTGTGCCTTGGAAATAGTCTATAGGTATGATGATCCACAGAGCTGTCATCATTTGTGGAGGTGACAAAAATGTTTGATAATCACTGAGTTAGACCAGTTACTAGCCCAAGTGGGATGACTATATCCGGGTGTGTGGCTCTTTAAACAGTCCCAGTGAATGGATGCAGATGCTGCTGAGAACAATTTTACCCATAAAGTCCCACACAACAGAATGTGGTTTCATGATTATGATTAGAACATGTCCTCTATGTAGTTATGGAAGCCTCCATATGCACAATAATGTCAGATATCCTGCTGGGAAACTGTGAAACAAAAAATCTACTAAAACACTTGGCATGACAAAAATATTTCGTAGTTTGTACAGATCAGACAGTTACAGTAAAATAAAAATATCCTGACAGATGTGATGGAGTTTTTGAGGCTGTGTACAGTAGCTAAATGTCCTTTTGTGTTAGTATGTTGACTCTTGCTTATTAGCAGAAAACACAAAGCACAGGACCTTTAAAATCATCTCAGTTCATCCTCTGAGGAACATGAATCCAATCCATCCAGTAAGTTGTTGAGATATTTCAGTCTGGACCGGATCGGTGGACCAGCTGCCTTCCATTCATTTAACACCATGTAATGCCATATGAAAAAATCCACACACTGATTTTATTTTTTTTTATCATTTCATTCAGTTTTATTACAAACAAAAAAAAAAGAAAGAAAGAAAAAGAGGAGATGCGTCATCATTGACATGTTTTCACTGCCACTCATCATTTGATCGGCACCACTACATACACAGTGACACAAGATACCCAGAAAAATCAACGCAAAGTTCTGGAAAGAGGACAAAGTAAAAGAGAAAAAAAAAAAAAAGGACTAAGTGCTTTTTTTTTTATTTATTGACGCAACATTTTAGCTCAGGGGTTGCAAAACGTCTGTTTGAAACTTAACACATTTTTAAAATGGACTACTTCTGGGAAGATCCATGTAAAATTTATGGGATAAATGAACACCTAGCTATCTCTTTTTTTCCCATTTTGAACTTAAAACAGACAGTGCTGACTAAAATTTACAGGTTGACATCAGGTTCTTAATTCATTTTATTGACTTTACATTTGTTCAGCTATGTTTATTAAGGCGTTTTTAATGATGCGGTGTATAAAATGGATTTCCAGCCTCTGATTTTTCCAGATAATAACTGTGTATTTTTACTTGAGTTAGATAGTATGCATTTTCTTTTCTGCTCATAGAAGCATTTAGGGTTACATATGGCCTATTTTTCTATATATGTATGTCATTTGCAAGCCCCAAATCTAAAATGTAAGCAAGAAAAAAATTAGTTTTCTTGTAATATATCTACTTCTGAAGTTAGCTCAACTTCTTCGTTTGCGTTCTCTTGTAATTATAGGACAAACATGGCAAAGAGGCGCATCATGTGTCGCACGTACTGTGATGGTTTTCATAGTTTCTCGTTACAAAAAAATGTCTCTTTTGGTAGAAGCTCTTTCTCAAATAGCAACAGCGAGAACAACAGCAACATCGACAACAACAATACTCATAATCGCGAGAGTAAAAACACAAGAGAACACGAATGAGCTGTTTAAATATGCAAAGTATATCACAGGATTTTTGTAGAAAGAAATAGAAACTTGGAAAAAAAGAACGGAAACAAAGGTTGATTGAGAGAAGGGAGGGAAGGAAAGGTGAGGAGGGAGAGGGAGGGCGTCAAGAGGAGTGTCGAGGATGGTCGATAGGGTTTTTTTTTTTAATAACACTGACTTGCTTATGAAAGGTTATAAACATTCATAGGAGGTTTCTGAAAAATAGCGTCGTCGCGAGGCCTTTTCTGGAACAAACCCCCCAAATACCTCAAAGCTCTGTACATAAACTAGAACCTGGGAAGCGGGATGGACGGGATGTCGGGAAATACTTTGTGGTCGAACAAGTCCTGAATATATTTATCATATCATACCTTTCTGCGTGTGTTTTATCTGAACATGTACCATTGAAAAAAGCGAAACAAAACAAAGGCCAAAAATAAAAAATAAAAAAAAGGAAAGCTGGAGCTGTGCTTAGAGCTGCTCGGGCCGAGAAATCGGAGATTCAGCTTCTCTCTGAGAATTAGAAACAGTATTAAAACGACTGGAGGCACAGCTTGATACCAAATTTTTTCTTCTTTTTCTTTTTTTTTTTTTTCCTTTCCACGAGACAGCATTATTGTGATTAGAGCATGCTTCAGGGGATGGAGTGCGATGGCAGAAATGAGTCTAGTTTCACATGCAGCTTCCTGTCGAGAGTTTAAGGAGCAGGGGAGGAGGAGGAAGGTTACATGGTCTATTGAGAGATCTAAAAGGTTTCTAGGATTGAGGTGAGTTTTAGCGTTGTGTGTGTGTGCATGTGTGTGTCTGTGTGTGTGTGCGTAGGTGAGGTTAGAAGCGTCCCTAGAGGAGAAGGAGGCCTGCGTGAGGAGGCCGTTCATGAGGAGTATAATGGTTTGAGGCAGACAAGAAAAGGTCACAAGAAGTTATGAGACAAGTTGGACTGTGTGTATTGTAGATGTGTGTGTGTGTATCCGTGGACAATAAGTGCACATGAGTGCTTCTGTACTGTATGTGTGTGTGTGTGATTGTAGTCAGTCAGGAGAGTAAAATTTAAAAGATTCCTGTAAATATATGTGTGTGTGTGTTTTCAAATGAAGCAACTACAATCGCTAGCGGGTCAATAAGTTCGCCCTCACTCAGTCAATTAGTCGTAATACTGGATGCAGTGTGGTGCAGAAATCGAAGACATCGTTGCAGCAGATGGGTTTCAGTGTGTGTGTGCACGAGCGTGTATGCGTGTGTGTGTAGTCTAGTCGTCGATACAGATGACCTCTCCGCTGCGCTGCTCCCGCCGATTGACCAGCAGCTCTGCTTCCCGCTCCTTCTTTACAGACATGGGAGGCCCGTTCAGTACTGCAGGGGGGAGAAAGAGACGAGGCCAGTTCAGTTCAACATGTACGTTAGCTGTGTTCTCTCACACCACCGAGACACAAATCTCAAGTTTACAGTTCATCACAAAAGACACAGTTTCTTATGTTATTGAAGATGTTAAATAACTGATATGACTCCATGTTATATTTTACAGGTAAAAGCGTATTATCCTGCAAATGATAGTAGATGGATTTAAAGTGCTTGGTAACCAACTGTAAACTGCATTTTCTTGCAACCTAATTTGGAGGAAATGAGGAGAAAACCTGCAAGAAATTAAAAGTTTGCTGCTCTTTCAGCTCAGAGTAAGTAACAGGTTATGGTGTCTCTGAAATAATTTGCATCCTAAATAAATAAAAGTAGACTGGTGACCTGTCCAGGTGTCTCCTGCCTTCACCCTGAGTCAGCTGGGATAGACTCCAGCCCCCCCCTCGTGACCCTAGTGAGGCTGAAGCGGTGTACAGATAATGGATGGATAAATAAATCTTTTTAGTCATTCTGTATTGCCACACTGGAAGGAAGATCGAACAGCTGGCTAGAGAGACGGACATCTACAGACAATCTGTCCAGGAACACAACGGCTGTTTCCACGAATGTGAAGCAAACTTTATAAACGAGGCTGCATGGTGTCATCAGAAGGTAGAGCTGTATTCGACGTTACACATGGCAGTAATAAATACAGAAGAAGAAGCCAGAAACACAACTAGACCGCCAAAACAGAAACAGCTCATCAGTCATCCATTATGTGCATTATCGCTTTAAAAAGTCAAAACCCACCTCGAGCAAGTGCAACAACATGCTTTTGCGAAACTGAGGATTTTTTTTTTATTCGCAGTTTGCTGTTTTCATTAAAATGTTTGCATGTGATACATAAAACGTGCTAATAGACAGCGTTGCATTAAGTTGGCCAATAACGGCATAAAGTTGCTGATCTGGTCGGGGGTTTCCAGTGCTCTCCAACACGTAGGTCGGATAGACTCAAAGTTTATTCCACACAGCTTTTTTTTTTTTTTTAATTTAAAGAAAGATTTTCTTAAACAGTAAAAACTTCCAAACATGGATTATAGAATGTATTTTACTGAGCAAACTGTGCTGCTGTGTGTTTGCATGAGTGTTGCTCTTTTTGCTTTATGCTGGTGCATTATTACTTTCTATCTCTTCAAAGTAGGATTATATAAACGTTGAGGTCATAAGTTGAAGTATCTATCGCCCAGAATAGCTGGACCATTTACAAAGGAAATTCATGAAATAATAAATAAATAAAAGGTTGATTTAAATGTTCTAATATTTGTTTTTCTGACCAAACACGAATACAGGTTAGTGGGGTTGTTTTAAATGTAAATTCGCTGATATCAAAATAACAGAATTCGTAAAGAAAAAACCAAACCTGACACATAAGTTAGTTTGACATGTTTTTTCAAAAATATATTGGTCAGGTGATGGGATCAACCATCTGTCCTGACCTAAAGCTAACCTGCAGCTGCCAGTACTTCCTCATATTATACTTATTGGTACGAAACATGTGCAAAAAAACAAAAAACAAAACTACAAATCTCCCCTCAGCTATGTAGTTGTGCACTTCACTAAAACATTTCTAAGATCAAGTCGGCTCAAATCAACCTTGTTTACAGTTAACAACAATAAAGGTCTTTCTGAAGCTGGACATTTGGTTGCTTGGGGACATAAAATCCAAATACAAACTGAGCTCCTTTTGTATTTTGAAACCTAAAAACCAGCAGATCAGCCATATGCATTGGAGGAAAATCATTTCCAAAATATTTATCCAGAAGAACGGAAATATTTGGCAGTGGAGCCAAACGGCTGAACTGAGCTGAGACGCAAGACGCAACATCCTCTTTTGTAAAATAACTGTTTATGGGAAATGTGGATTGAATTTGAGAAGTACAAGCACTAAGAATATCTCCGTCAATACTCTCCGTCTTGGCTTCGTTTACTGATGATAATTCAACCAAAACATTATTTACGAAACAACACAAGGAGCCACATCGACAAATCAGTACCGTCCCAGATGACCTTATTATACTTTTTAATGAGAAAACTTGCATAATACAGTACATCAATATATCATATTACATATACAGTATCATGTTTACAATAATGACGAAACCTCAGAATCCAGAGCTTTGAACCTGGACAAAGTGAGGCCAGCAATGAGCAAACACACACACACTCATTCCCACACCAACGCAGGCACTCCAGGACGCAGACAAACAAATACCCGCATGCAGGAAAATGAACTTCTTTCTGCACAACTGCACAGCTGGCCGGCGAGCAGGACCTGTGCTTCCCACATTTGTGCGCTATCGTGGATCTGCTCGGGGAGTGGAACGGCGAGTTTAGCGCTCCTTTCAAAACAAAGCCAGCGCACTGCTTTCACTCGCGCCACGGGGAAAGATAAACTGTCATAACACCCCCGTGCAGATCAAAGATGCGATAAGGAGCGTATTGAGCTGAAGATGTTTAAAGGGGGGGCTGAAACTGTGTGTGTGTGTGTCTAAAACCACTGGTGGGGACCACTTATGGGAAAACGTATGGCATTTGGCCAGCGGAGGCCAGCGCAGGAGATGGAGAGAGGCAGTGAGTGTGTGTGTGTGTGTGTGTGTGTGTGTGTGTGTGGGGGGCAGAAAAAAAATCTGATAAGAAGCAAAACAAATGGAGGTAAAGACTGGGTGAAAGAGCAAGAGAAATTGAGGGTGCGTAACAAAAGTAGAAGACAGCAACACGGAACAGAGAGAGAAAGAAAAAAAAAAAAGTCCTTGAAGGAAAACAAATGTGATATTTGAGCACAGATACAGAAATGCTGAAGGTAATTTATCGAGCACAAAGTGCTGACAAGTGTGTTTTTCAAGGTTTTAAAAAACAAATCTAAGGGAGCAAAAATGCTGAAGAATAAAACGACAGCTTTTAAACTCCTTAAATGTTCACGTAAACAAACCCTGCTTTTGATGCTATTTCAGTTATTTGACGATTCAGTGTATTTAGTTAACAACGTAGGTTCCATCCAGCTTAGTCACTTTTTATCACATCTCGCTGAGAACTGCCAACTCACTGCCAACTATTTACTCTCTTCACATATCCAGCTGGTGCTCTTTCACATTAAAACGTTTCACTTCAGCTTTTATTGTGAAGCAGTCACATGTGACATCCTCTGGGGAGTGAGTTTCATTTGCTTCCCATCCTCGTCGAATTTAGCACAACTGTTCATCAGAAACGTGTCTAACAAAGCAAAACAGTCCTGTTCAGCACCGTCTGCGAGCGGATCAATGCCATTACTGACCAAGTTCTTGGTTAAAATGTGGGTTTGTTTGGCTGCACTGTAAACAGATTCATTAGTTGCAGTTCACTGTAGTAACTGCCAGGAAGTATTGGCAAATCAACTGGGACTGAATTCCAAAAATAAAAGGACTCTAAATATCAATTTTGGCCTCAGAAAACCACAGTCTCAGCTGGGCTCTACCAAAAAGGCATATAAGGTAAAGCAGCCATGAAGATAAAACAGAAGAAGGAATTCAAGGAAGCACTTGTATTACACCAGATAACAGATTCTTTCTGTTCTCTCCGCTGCCAGAGTCACTCTATAATACTTCACCTCTGTCCATCCAAACCCCTCCTCCTCTTTCCCTTCTCTTCATGCTGTCTCGCTCACACTAGTCTGCCTGAAGCTTTACAGTAGCAGCAGACATTGTTAAATAAACGTTTTCTCGTCCCAAATTAGGCTGGCAGTGATATTTGTAGTTACAGTAAAAAAATATGATAAACCCAAAAGCTCACAAAACGACACATCTGAGAATTCTTAAGCTTCGACTGTTTTATTCCTCTCTGAGGCCTCCGACTCTGGACTGAGCGGGATGGAGCTCCTGAAGTCCAGAAAGGCAATAAAAAACATTCCTGGCCAACATGTCAGTCTGTGTCTCTCCCCTGTAGGTCCTGCCTACTATCTGATAGAAGCGAATGCTGCCATCTTGGCAACGAGTGCAGCATTTCTGCTTCGCTCAAAAGCTTCGCGTGAGTGCATTTCTGCCAGAACCTTTCATGAAGAACAACCTTGTGTCTCTGTACTGTCAACTTTTCAGGAACTAAGAAAGCACAGGCTTGTTGGGTCTGTGAAAGAGTTTCATAAATCCTGGCGTTGCAGGAGTTTCGCAATCGGTTGAAAAAGTTGGAAAAGTTTCAGTTGGAGTCAAAATTATTGATTAAGGATTTCAGTGTTAAGAGACTCGTATTCATGCGTGTGCTCTGCTGTGTGCGTGCACATGCATTTTGAAATACTGAAAGGTGAGCATATAAAACTGTAATGAAAACTGGCAACAGATGCTTACTATGACCTTAAAGCTGCATTGATTTTAGAGCACATGAGGGCAACCCAACATTGACACAGTACAACCTTTAAAAGCTGATATGCTACCATGCTAGCTGCCAAATTACACATCCAGCAGTCAGCAGCTGTGCTTCCTGTCATAAGTGTAATGTTCTTCACTTGTAGCTCTATTTTGGTGCTCCACCGTGTTCACCAGCTGCCAGAAAAAGCTGCCTGCAGCTAGAAATAATGTTGAGAGCAGTGAGACTGAACCAGAACAGTAAAGTTGCAGGACATAAAAAAATAAAATAAAAATGAAGCTAAAAGATCCTAAACCACTCGCTCAATCCAACAGTAACTGCAGAGTGTGGTGATCATTTTTTGCAGCTTTGTCACTCCAGGCAACCCCGTTCACATTAAACATAAACATTGTGTCCTTTGTTAATATAAAAATATCCACAAGCCTTAAGTTCTGCTTTTGCTAATTGTAGAACATTGTATTTTGGCAAAATGCTTCGTGTTAAGACCATGAAAGTATGTGAGAAGTACTTTGTGAAATAGAAAAAAGCGTTTTGTAGAAAAACATTTTTAGAATCCTGCAAGTAAAGTATCCAAAAAGTATTGTTTTGGAATTGGTAAAGAACCTCCGGTATCATACGGACACCAACACTGAAAGTTTGAACTAGTTTTGATAAAAATGGCAGAACTACCATGCACAACAACCCATTCACACCCAGAGCATTCTCTCATTGCAGGCCACACCGCTACTACACTTCTGTGGTCTTTATGTCCTTTAAACTTAAAGGGAAATACCACTCAGTTTTAGCTTAAAAATACTCAGACATCCCACAAGAGTTTGGACTGTAATTGATAATTCGCTTTTCTTCCTTCCACAAACGAAGCCGAAGAGTTCCTCCTGGCTGGGATGTCACACTGATGTACAGCTCGACTGCACACACACCAAGCTGGAAAAACGATGACACAGTCCAGAGTGTTTTATTTTCTCAGGGATCAGGGGACATTTTCCGCCATGGAATCAATCACGCTGTCACAATAAAGGAGCTCGAAGAACAAAAAAAAGAAAAGAAAAGAAAAAAAAAAGTCTCTTCAGGCTTCAAAGTGAGTCTGTCTGTTTCTTTCAGTGATAGATTACAGTCTTAATCTTTGGGGAAGAGCTGCTCATAAATCCTGATTTTTTGCTGTGATGAGGCTTAAAAACAGGAAATGTAAATACTTCATTAGAGTGATATTCCCCTTTAAGTGACCCCCACCCCAACCCACAAAAAAAGGTGCAATAGTAAATATGCTTTGTAATACAGTACATGTCTCAATAGCAGTCCATCATCAGATTGGGTTCGAGCAATGTTGCTACTGACTGTTGGACAAAGGCAGCGTCTCAGTCTTTTTTATATATATATCTATGGTTCTTGCTTCTATGCTTGGTTGGACTCAGGAATGCTAGGGCAAGAGAGTCCATGGGAAGTAGAGTTTTATACTTAGAAAACTCTTTTTTCCATCTTTTTTCTTTCTTTCCTTTTTTTTTTTTTTTTTTGCAAAATAATCTGGGTCCAGCTTGTCCCACTCTATTTTAAGTAAGGATTTCATTTGCCTGTACTCAGCAGATAAATTAAGTTCTTTGCAGGTTTTCAGGTTGTGTGTGAGGTCCACAGTGTGTACATATATGTATGTGTATGTGTGTGTGTGAGAGACTGAGAAAGAGATACGGAGGAGTGGAGGGCTGTGGAGGAATGAGGGAGTACAGGGTCAGATCGAGGGGACAGGCTTGTTCAGTCAGCCGGCGGATGAAGAATTGATCTGGGGGGAAATCTTTTTCGTCTCAGAGGGAGAAACAGAAAAAGAAGTCTTATGAACTGTGTGGAAGGAGGTATAAAAAAAAAAAAAAAATCCTCCTTTGTTGCATTTTTTTCTTCGATTCAGCCTTCATATCTGAAATCCTAAAAACCTGATTGCATTAACATGCTGTCTTTTTCCATTTGTCTTCAGTCCAGACTTTCAAAGTCAGATATTTGGAGTTTTTTTTTTTCAGTAGCTCCCTTTTCAAATAAGTAATCTCTCTTTTTTTTCTGTCTCTGCCTCATCCCAGCCCCCAAGCATCATTAGTGCTTGATCTCAGGCCCAGCTTTTCACCTCTCCCTTTTTATTTTGGACCCACTCTTTCTGCGGTTGATTGCTTGCTTTCTTTTGTGGATCAAAGTGCCGCCTCTACGTTCCGTTTCACATTTCATGTCCTCTCCTTTTTTGTTGCCTCCCATCCTTATTCGATGCATCCAGTGAGCTTGTCCTCTCCCTTTTTATTCCTCACATTCCAGCAGTGTCAAAGTGCTCCGTCCTTGAGTCCCTTTTTGGAGTTCCTTCACATGCATTCAGGTTTTCGTCTCTTTTTAAGATTGCACTGTCCTTTTGTTTTTCAGTCTCCGTTTTTTGATACATTCCGGGAATTTTTTTTTTGTCCTCTCTTCAGTCCCCTCATGAGTCTCCTCCTCGCCCCCTCAGGGTTTCTTTGGTCGCCCGTTGCGCGGCAGGTTCTCCACCGTGTTGCTGAGTCGGTACTTGACGATGATGCTGTGCACCGTGGACTTGGGCATCCTCAGCTCCAGCCCAATGGCCCCCTCTGACTTACCATCCTTCCACAGGTCCACCACTCGCTGCCGCTGCACCACATCGTGCTCCTTGGTCTTCTGGCAAACACCGGCGGCGGTTGGCCCTCCGGTGGCTCCACCTGCAGCTCCCCCGGTGGCCCCAGCAGCGGCGGCGGCTTCTGTGGGGGCAGACAAGCGGCAGACTGTAGTGGAGACTCGGAGAGGGGAGCAGGATAATGTGACACTTTACTGGTCCCCAAAGGGATTTGTCTTTTAGTTTTCCTCCCTCCTCTGCAGGGAGGTCAGAGGTCAGGAGAGAGCTACTGGAGCTGGTCGAGGGGGGGGGTTCAGTGTCCTGCTCAAGGACACTTCAGCAGGGCAGGTGCTTGCAGACATGAGGGCTTGTGCTCCATTCCATCTCTTTAATTTCTACGCTCCTAAAAAGATGATGTTTTGTCTAAAATGTGGGACTCCTTTTAGCGCAGATGTGTAGCTTCCTGATGGCAGAAACAGGTTTTCCAAAATGCATTTCAAGATATTGTGCAAATGCTGAGATATTGCCACGTGTGAGACAGCACAAAACAATTCTTCACCGGAGCATTTGGTGCATTGTTACATTTTGCAGCAGAGTTCACAGAGTGCAGCTAAAGTAGTAGATGTGTAGTTCAAAAGTGCCACAGCAGACAAGCATATTTTTGGACATGTTTTGTGTACTCAAGTGTGGGAGCTTCTCTTAGGAAAGTGCTGTTAATGGAGGGAAGCTAAGAGGTCACAAAATCAGAGAATTTTGTTATTCTAACTCCATCCATTTCTTCTGCTCGCTTTTTTTTTTTTCTTCTTCTCTCTGGCTGAATCTTATAAGGTCAGGAACCAGCGCGACCCCAATCAAGACCATAAATGTGGTCTCATTTGCTGCATGCTTGTGCCCTGCCAGAGTATGGAGACTGCACACGGCTCAACTCAGCTGCCTTCAGTGAGGCTCCGGTGAGCAAAAACCCACGGAGGAACACAACTCACGCGCAACTATTTCTGAACAGCCAGCGCTCGGCCCAGCCCTCTGCCAGTTCACAAGTCACAACACGACGTTTACACAACCAAACTGCTGCGGTTTCTGTCCCTCTCAAAATACCTTGGTACAAAGTCCGAATGTTTTCTTGGCATGGCCAGACTCAGACAGGCTGAGTATAATGACATTTTCAGAGATAGGCCCTGGCTCTCTAAAATGCAATGCTTTTGACAGATGTTTCAGTCTACAATTACAAAAATCAAGATACACCGAGCGAGAGGCAGGCGCAGCACTGAGAAAGCTGGGTGTTGTGGTTTTTAGGGCAAAGCTATTGGGGAATATCAGGTTTTACTAGTTATCTCTGCCACATCTCTGCTATCTAAACATCTCCGAACACGAATACACATGCAGAGCAGAGAGTACGTCTGGAGAGCATATGCTGTTACCAAACTAATTATGAGAAAATAAATTCACAAACTGCCAGCGAGCTCTGACAGACTGCAGACAGGAGAAGTGGGACAAGAGGCCAAAACAAAACAGATTTTTTTCTTTAAATTTTAATTTCAAACCTTTTAACTCAATAAGTAATGAGAGCCACAATAGGACTTCACAAGGAATAATAAGCATGCCTGCAAAAGAAAATACTCCTCCGACAGGTCTGATAGCGCTGCAGACGGTGCTCTGTCGTTGCACAATGTCTCATTAGATCCCGTAAGTGCTGAGCAGAGTATTGAGGTTTTGAGGTTAGACATGTTAAGAGATGAAAATGCCTTAATATAGCAGCGCAGCACGTTTGTGTTTGATTTTGGTAATGTCTATTTCAGGTGTCTATCTGGCAGCCACATCACAAACTCCGCTGCAGATGTTTTTTTCCGATATGGACTCCGTTCTGGATTTTAAGGTTTCACAACTTGAGCTGCTCTGGGAGATAAAGTGTCTATTCAAAGTGCTTAAAACAATGCCGCTTTAGAAGCCATCCGGTAGTCCTTTGTGCCACTCATTTAAGGATTAGATTGAAATTTAAGACTTAAATAACACCGTTCTTGATCACAAAACTAAGTACAGTGCACAGAAATCCGAAAATACCCATTTCCCAGAGACAGTCATTTTCATGAAGCCCGAACATGTTTTTCCATTTTCTTTGCTGAATGTTTTTCCACAACAACATAACCATATAAAGATGGAATTCCTCAGATGATATCTTTAAAAATAGGAGCACCACTTTGAACTGGTTTTGCCCATCACAAGTGGAAGTTGCCAAGTAATCAAGTCCTGATCTCTAAAGCTGGATTTGTGCTTCCTCATCAGGGTGTCGTGGAGCCTGGGTAGCTCTGCTGGAGCTGACATGAACCCTCTCAAATATTTAAATATACTGGAGAGATGAAACATGTAGATCACAAGAACTTTGATGGCTGAGATTGTGTTTTCTCACACAGGTTTCTGATGCCAGAGGAGATAATTGGGGGAAAAAAACATGGACCAACTTTTTATAAATGCTCAGCTATCTTGTGCTTTTCAGTCAGGATTTTGGTGTAAAACTCTTTGCTCTCTCTCTATATATAACTGTTTCAGTGTCTATAGCTTTAAATGCAGCTAAGCTCCTGCTGTCTCTGCCCCCTTCAGGAAGAAGACTCTCTTTGCATCTCTGATTGACAGCACAGAGCAAAATAATTGACTACAGACCAGCCGACACAGACGTGAATGAGTGTGTGAGACCAGGACTTTCCATCACTTCTAACTTTCTCTCACCTTACATGGAAATATCACCATACTCGCAGCACAACTGTTGTTTTTAAGTCACATATATGGTGAATTTGTCAGACGGCATTACAGCAATAAAATCCATATTTTAGTGCTGCAGAGCCACAGCTTGAAAACAGCTATGAAGTGACCGCTGGTAAACATGTAGCTTTAAAGGGCTTCGGAAAGTAGCTGTAGAAAAAAAATGCAGCATATGTGAGCAAAGAGTCAGGAGAGAAGCAAACAGATGTAAACACTGGCTGGGTTTTGTTGCACTGAAGCCCAACAGGTGATATAAAAACACAGTAGCCCAGCCAAGCCTTGTTTATCGATTAGAAAACAGTTTCCACATCTCTGAGCGTTACAGTCTCCACACAGCTGTGACCTGTGAGCAAAGCTTATGGTACGTTAGCCATTTTAGCTGTGCATTGTGCTAACACTACCGGTTTTCCTCTTGTCATGGCAACACTGTCATCAATAATAAAAGTAAGCCACTTTGTGTTCAGTTCTTTAGCTCCTTGGAGTGCATGAAGACTCTTGTGTTCACACTTGCAGCCATCAGCAGAACTCTTAGCATGATTTGATCGTGGCTAAGACATTTTGGAGGTAGCAGAAGCATTTCTAGAAAGTAAAGAAACCTGACTGGCTCACCTCACAAGTAGCAGGCAGTGAGTGGGCAGGATAATACAAAGTCTGAGGTAGACAACTATTGGAATTTGGACGGTGGCAGCCGAGAAACTGTCCTACTCCTCTGTGAAGATGGGAGGCTACCTCATTGTGGCAAAGATTGAGAAATGCCAGAAGTAAACATCGTCATACCTTTATAAGCTTTTACTTCACACTTCCAAGACTATAACCACACAACAGAATAAAAACAGATTTCCACAATATGGGACATTTAAAGGAGCACTAACGCAATTTAGTTTTGCATTTCCACAAAGATTGGAGCCTTGCATAAAATGCATTAACATAAGAAAGGTCAAAGTTCCTGCAGCAGAGACCAAAATATCCTGACTTTTAGTTTGAACTGCAAAAAACTCACCAGACATTTCCCATCATACAACTCAACATCGTTTCATCACACCCTTCCTGCCTGGTAAATGCCAGCCCATTTCAAATACCCCAGTTTGTCATTCAGTGTTTTCCATTTATGAATGAGTAATCTCAAGACCAAGCAGAGATAACCCTGATGACATCACCAGGGTTCTTTTTTCAGACTTGACAAATCTGACGCAGACCCATAAAAAGACATTACACAACTGTTTTCAAAGCCTGAGGAGTACTGTACTGGTTCAATAGCCCCTTTAAACTTGCAGCACATCACTTTTGTCTCCCCCTTCTGGCAATGGGAGCAATTGCACATGCCCTGTCAACTCTTCCCAGGTTGTTGCTCCTAGTTGTTGCTAATACGCAGCCACAGCTGTAGGTCCTCAGCTCTGGCTAACCAATCATCACTGATGAACATAAAAACACTTTTACTACCCGTAAGCCAGCGCGGGAACGTCGCCACAGAAACTAAATTTAAAACTCCATATACTGCAAAAAACAGAGATTTACCTGTCGCTGACAGGATTAATCAGCACTGGGTGAACTCATGGTGTCAAGGGCTTTACTGTAACAGACATTCATTTCTATGTAAAAGCTCTACACTCCAGCTTTAAACAAGATTATTTTGACAAATCTGAAGTTTGTGCTTGAGCTAGCGAAGCCATTTCCACCATCGCCTTTATCAGCAAGCAAGAAGTAAAGAACATAAACAGGACTTCTTTAGGTATAGAATTAATGCATCACATTTCCTAAATGAGCTGCTTGTGTTATGACAATCACTGCCTTTGATTCTGTGCTGAGATATAAATCAGTTCCTGTGCCAGAGGCGCCTACAGTAAGATTGCAAAAACACCTTGGCAAAGAGGCATAAATCTGGCTTAAATCATCAGCCTGCCAAGTGTCAACCAGATCAAACAAACAGGTATTCTTCCTCTGTAAATTATCATGAATGCTATAATTATCGGAGCTCTAATACCTTTTGATGTTTATTATTGCTGATTATAACTCACTAACCTGTTTTTTCCTCTCACACGTCTACAAATGTGCATTTTCCATGGCTCAGTGACAGAGCATTTTTACTGCCTTACTATTTCCCAAATTCCTCTTATACTGCACTCAAGTAGCTTAAATGTCAACTTTTTTTTCCACACACTTTCTATCATCTTCTCCTGGTGATTTATACCAAATACGCACCCCGACTCGTGACCACACCATCGTTTACAGTAGCAATAAGGATGTCAGTGTCGCTGGAGCGTCAAACACTGACCTGATATGAAGGATCCAGGCGGCATCTGACTGTAGTTGGCCCCTCCCAAGTGTAGGGCGCTCGGGGGGGCGGGGGTGAAGGGGGCTCCGTAGTTCTGAGGGGTGGCGTAAGGTCCTGGAGGTATGGGCTGCACAAAGAAAGGAATTATGCACAGGTAGAGTGAAAAAAAAATTGGAAGATGTAAGAATAGGGAGAATCAAGTTATGAGTTATGTAAGCCGACGAAAAAAGAAAAAAAAAAAAAAACGCTGACTAAGCAGTTGGGGAGTGAAAAGGCACAGGTGGGTGACAAGATAATAGGCTCTGTATTTTCACTGGATGCCCTCCATCTATTACTTTTCCACAGTGCGCAGGCAGCTCGAGCAGGTTTCGACTTGTGAGTGTTTCTGTTTGTGTGTGCGATTAAGGGCGTGTGTGTGTGCGTGTGTGTGTGTGTGTGTGCGCGTTGTGTTTCAATGCAGGCTGCTGACCGGGGGCGTGTGCGTTTCCGTGCCCTTGCTGGCCAGTCGGCTGAGGATGCTCCTCTCGGACATTTGCAGGCGAGCGGCGATGGGTGGGACTCTGGACAGCGTGGCCGGTAGCCGAGTTACGTCGGCCTTCATGTCACTCAGCAGCTCCTCCAGCTGGTTCAACACTGCAATGACAACAACAAACAACATGAACGACACTTGAAGGAAAGACCAAGTGCTTCTTTTTGCTTTTATTTCCAGCTTGTTTCTGGACGTTTCATTAAATATTTGATAATTTATTTCAAAACTTTATTGGTTAGTGCAGGAAAATGTGCTTTTCCTAATGGTCCCAGCACAAGTATATCACATACACGTGTTATTTTCTCATTTGATTGACTGCTTCTGCACAAATGTTCTTCAGATTTCCTTAAAAATAAGCTTCTTGATAACTATGAAGGTCAAATATAATTTACAGTCTGAACACTACGCAGCACTTTTTGTTTTTATTTGACAACATGTTGACAAATAGCACATTTCTGACACTGTTTTTATAACAGATTACAGTTCCCATTCTTTACTATCTGCCCTCTCCCTCATCACATCCCTACATGGACTTAATCACTGCCCACAGACTATCAGCGCCACTTGTAGTTTGATAAAAATGTTACGTGCAGACATACAAGATGAGAACAAGAACAGTAGTGTGCTCAGCATGTTATTCTTTCGACAGCATGATATAAACATGGGCAGACTTGCTAGGGACCCAGTGAGGAAATATTTGGAGCTATCACTTAACATAGTGTAAGCTTATCTGCTTGGCGTTACTGAATACAGCTCCAGGCGGAGCGATATGGTCAATGCAGCAACAAGGATTGCACAACAGCTGCGGTGAGATATGTTGATGTGGATCTCTTTCACTGTGCTCCTGTCATTATCTGTCTGCCAATCTCTCCCACTTTCTCTAAATCTGTCTGCCCAAGTTTGTTTTCCCAGCTCCTCTGCTTATATTTTACATCGGCACAAAAGTTGTTTCTGCGTTTAATGCAGGCAAATTTGTTGATTTATTTACTATGCGACAAAGAAACAGTTTCACTAGAATGTATTGGTGCCATTGCAGATTGCTGACCTTTGTGCAGGACAGCGTTGGCTGGCTTGTTGCCTGCCAGCGACTCCTTGCTGAGGTGCTGGTGCGACTCCGCCAGACACTCCACCTCTGCAAAGCGAGCATTGAGCGCCATGGCTGGGTGGCTGGGGTCCTGGGTCATGTTTAGGTAAGCTGCCCGCCGCAACTGCTCCTCTATCACCAGCGCCTGCTCCAACAGCTGGAGGACAGTGGAAGGGAAGGAGTCACTGGAATTAGTGCATCAACTACTTCATAATCTACTGTATTATAACAAAAGTAATGAATACTGCAATTTTCAAAACAGTCACTGCTTTAAATGGGAACATTCACATAAATCAAATGAAATAAGGCCACTAAAAGTAAAAAAAACAAAAACAGCAATATATAAAGCTAAAATGGTGAAATGATCTTTGAAAAATATAGAACAGTGGATTCCAAAAACCAGTATGATATGGGCATTTCTGCACATGGGGCTCCAAAATGAAAGTGCTGTTTTAAAAATATGCACATAGCGTATTTCTATTTGCCTTTCCAGTTGGTGTGCAATATACGACAATAATGAAATCACAATATTTTGAATTTCATAGAGCTAAACTGCTTATTCCATTTCAATGTTCCATATTTGGGATTATTCCAAATTTGGCACTTTTCCATTAAAAAATGCAAGATATACTGAAAATACTCACATTTTAAGGACACTCTTTATACATTTTCACAGCACATTTAGAATATCTGTCTCAGTTGAGGCTTTTACTGCAGTTTTCTGCACACAGTCTCTTGGACGTTTACAGTCAACAAACCAGTTATCTAACAGTTTGCAAAGTTGGGGGTCGAGATGCATGCCCTAAAGACAAGCATTTCTGATCAGAAGGAGTAACACACTGACTTTTTCACAGTATGAAAAAGTTGGATTTGGTTTTATGAAATGCACAAATATTCCAATGCTAACCTTTTATTTTATTAAGGTAGTTAAAGGAATGAAAGAGGGAGGTCATATTTCAATGTTTAAAAGTCGACAACTGGTGAAAACTGGAAAAAAAGGAAGTATGAACATCTGCATGTAAATAGAAAAATGTGAGGAATATTAAGTTTCATTAGCTGCGTAAACAGTTAAGTAGGAATATCATCTCTTTTTCTGGACTAAAGGCGAAAGCTGTAATACTTTGTGCATGTTAACATAGTAGCTGTGTACTACAGGCCCATTGGTAGTTCGTTGTTTTAACGTAAACTTACTCGAAATACACTTTATCTGTTTTTCTATCTTCCATCAATCATACGACTCTTACAAATCTTGCCTAAGATAAAGCTTATTTCACACTTCACTCATACTCATGAAAAGTGTACTTTTGTGAAAATAAACCAAAAATCACTGCGTCTCTTCTTCAAGTTTAGTTCTGCAGCAAAATCCCAGTCATTTGCAAGCACAAACTCAATTTCCATCTGTCATGAAGTGATCTCACTGGAGGAACCCAAAGAATATTTTATTGTAAATCAATTTTGGTGGCCAATTTCACATTCATAAAGGTTTGCTAAAGTCATCAATAATTCAAAAAGCAGAATGGACCTATAAAGTTTAATGGTAAATTTAATTGCATTTCTGATACATTAACTTCCATTTTGCCCTTTTAGTTTTTGTTGTGGTTTTTTCTTTTTGCTCCACATAAGCTATGATTGCACCTTCCAAAGCCAACTTTAACCACCACTGTTACTTGAAGATGTATTCTGAGCAGTATGATTCGACAGATAACCTTCTAAAACAAGAGCATAAGGAAGAGATGATCTTTAGCCTGTCTCAATACCTGCAAATGGTTTGAATTTGTAGCTACAGTGAGTAACTCATATATTAATCTGGTGGCTAAATCCAACATCAGGTGTGTTTGGTATGTCTATTAGCTCTTGGTATGCTGTTTTTCCAGTGTCAACAGGCGACTACGCCTAAATTTATGTCCTGATATCTGACAAGCTGCTTTTCTGTGAACAGAGAGCAATCAATACCCAACACAAGGGTTTCATTTGGACAATTACAGCGAGTACATGTGGTACCAGACAAGAGAGCATCAAATATTCTTCACCTCATGAGCTTGATTTATTCTAATAAGATACAGAGACTGCATATTCTTGCAAATCTTGCCCAGAACGAACAAGAATACTATATCATGGTTGACAATTAGACAAAAAAAACACTGTAGCAGGTTAAAAATAAGACTCATATAGCCAGTGTTTCTTGTGCATGTGCTCCTGCACAAATACATCAAACTAACAGTTCAGCCTGTGGAAAGCTCCTCAGAGAATGAGTTCCACAGACTTAATAAAACTTACGCTCCTCCCCTGCACAGCTGAATTCTCTGGTAGCTGCCAGAGTGTGCAGCTGAAGCCACTGATTGCAAACAAAGAACTAGATAAAAAGCAGTACCTTCAATGAAAAAAGTACTCTGAATAAAACTGTGAGCATAAAATACTTGTATATTCCTATCAAATCAGTACATTTAAAAAAAACAAAAAACAAATGTTACTTCCTTTCATTTGCGTACAGACAAAGAAAATGTCTTGTTTTCACCAAAAATTCAACATGACAAAAAAGCTCTTGTAATTCCCTCTTTTGCCATCTACTCTTGTTATATTCCTTCTGAAAACTGCTCCAATCGTCTCTCTGTCTTTTTCTGACATATTGCTATCATCAATGTCCTAGCTGGCATAGCAGCAGTAATGCAAGCATTTCATGAGAAACCCAGCTCCAAACAGCAATTCAGTTACATGTGTGTCCTAGAAAAGGAGGTACTTGTGGTAAATTTGTTTCAAAAGAGGTCATCTTGTTACACAACCAATTACAACTAAAACACGTTAAGCAGAAATTGGTAACACAGAAAGGCCCTTTGATGCCAGATTCACAAAAACCTCCAATAATTTAGCGAGAAACCTAACGAGAAAACAACGGGAGTGAGACAGAGACGGCAATACAGTAAATGAGGATGTTGAGGGCAGGATCTGAAACATGTGAGCCGCTCAAAAACAGGATGAGAGCTCTTCCAGAAATGCAGCCGTCAGCAATACCATTGGGCTAATAAGTGGGTCTAGGGGCATCTGTCATCCGACCATCAAACAAGTCAGGTGATCCAAGATGCTGAACCTCAAGAGTTTTTTATAGCAACCGAAACCATCCGGTCCACAGCACAAAAGAATGTAGAGACTGTCGAGTACCCAAAGTTGGTCATAGCCATTATCAAATATTCCAAATTTATTCTATTTAGTCAAAGTTTGTATCTATCTAACATTTCAGAATGCTAGATTTTTTTTATATATACTCAATGTACCAGCCCTAAACCAGTGGGGTAGAAAGCAGCTTTAGGAAGTCGAAATGAAGGTGTAGCTGTGTCCTGTCTTACCTTAAAGCGTCGAGCCAGGAACTTGTTCTTCATCTCCAGGAAGTTGCCTTTATTCGCCTGCGACTTGAAAGGCTCGTTAACGATGGCGAACTGGGGATCATTCTGGATGTCCTGCCATCGAGCGTAGCCGTGACTGGTGTAGGGGTCAAGGGTCACGAAACACGTTTTGTCAGAGGGAGTAAGCGGCAGCAGTGTTTGACATCACATCTACCCAACAGCATAAATAAAATAAACATTACACTGCAGCTCAACAGGGATGGCATTTAGTTTTTTGCACAAACGCTATGCATCCAATTAACTGGGGAAAGATATGCTTTTTCACTTTCTTACCACGAGTTGGATGAATAGGTAAACACCAGAAGCAGGTGGAAACAGGTAGCCTGACTCTGTCCCAAGTTTAAAAATGTGCCTACTCACACTTCAAAAGCTCCTTGATTATTAACCGTGTCTCATGTTTTATTCAGTGCACAAACGGAGCCTACTTATGAATTTATAGGAGGTTTTATGCAGGACTATAAATACCTCTTGACTGTGCAGGATGTGCAAACACAGTATGTAAAGCACAGTCTTTGGTATAGATCTCTACACAGAGTTACAGACACACACAGATGGTACCAAACCACACAACTTCATTATGATAACAAGGCTCCTGGGAAGGAAAAGCTACAGCATGGAACTCCTGTTGAAATTACAGATGTTTTAAATTCCTATTTTATGAATTAAACTAAATAACGGCGCTTTGGTAGACTAGTAGACCTATGTTAAGACCTTTCTTTCAGTCTTTATGCTAAGCGAAGCTCAACACTAAGGAACAGTTTGACATTTTGGGAGGAATGATTATTTTTCTCCCAAGCACAAATCAGATGAAGAGATGTTCACTGCTCTCATAACTGCCCATTCATTGTAAAGCTAAAATTGGATGCAGGTTAGCTTAGCATCACCATGACTAGAATAAAGATTGGAAACCAAGAAAAAGGCAGCCTGGCTCTCTGTGGAAATAACAAAATCCACCTCGCAGCTGCTAGAAAGACATATTGTAACACATTTGCTTTATATATCTGCAATCAGAAAGGCAAAACTGACAATCTGTAACCTTGCTGGGTAATTTCAGCTGCTTTCCTCCTTCTTTCAGTATTCATGCAAAGCTGCGCAACAAATCATGGAGTGGCATTAAAGGCATTTTTCTTATTAAAATGCATAACTGGATTTTTTTTAAAGCACAAAACAGATTTCAAGCAGCTTCTGAAGCAAAGCAGTGTTTTCTTTCAGCCTATCTAGGCCTCAGCATTCGCTTGCAGATTAATGAAAACAGAGTTTTATGTGAATACAGCGTGGCCTTAATTACCATAATAGAGAGAACAACGTGAACTAAATGACCCACTACATCAGCTTCCAGCAGACACAGCTCGCTGTTTACTGAGCTCTGGCTGGCTTGTTGACTTATTACGCTGGGCTTCTGCCGGCCGATAGAAAAATAAACACAGCAGGGTCATCGCCCGGGCAACTGCTGTCAAGGATACATCACGATTCCCGCCAGGAGCCAGAAGTCGTGTCGGCGGTGCCAGATCTCGTTCATCTTCCCCGAGGAGATGGCAGCCCGCTCCTCGTTCTGCCAGAGTGTGTGCAGCTCTGCGGGGGTGAAGCCAACACAAGGCAGCAGAAATTAGGTTGGTCTCAAAGTGCTTAGCTAGCTGAAACCTGGCTGCAGGTGTTTTCCACAGCACACCCACAGCTTTTCTGGGTTTGTGATCAAGGTGGAGATAATTTTGGCTGACTGCTGCTTTTGTATAAGCTCTGGAAAGCAAGAGGAATGTTTTGTTTGTTCATTTTACCAGTGAATTTTATGTTGTTTGGACTTCATAGCTACATTTTGGTCAGCATGTAAAGTTATTTTGACCCTTACACCTCTCTCTCTTCATTACTGAGAAAGAAATCTACTCTTCTCAGTCTTAAAATGGAAAGATCTGTTACAATGTACAGCTGATGTCTGCAGTCTTTTCTTGAATATTAAAACACAAAATATAAGTGCAAAATATAAGTGCATTGTCTGTGTCGAGATTATATGTTAGAGGACAATGGTTGTATCTTCAAGGAATATTATTAAGTGTCCTGCTGAAGATTCAGAGGAAAGAGGAAAGTGTTTGCTAAAATAAAACTTGAAGAATCGTCTAAATATTGGTCACCGGAAGCATGACGTTACGGTGTATTTTTTGTGGCATTTCCTATGAAATTTCACATCATGGAAGACGAATGTGACCACATCTTTTCAAGTAAGTTGCCTCATACTCAGTTCTCTTTTTTGACTACCACTGTGCATTGTGTGCAAATCATCCGAAACCGCATGTCTACACAGGAATGCTATAAAAAACAGAAGCTTTCTGGTGCTGCGTCATCCTTAAGTGGGTCATTTCCGATGAACACATGCACTACTTGAGGGGTCTAGAAATTTCCAGGGATTCTCTTTATTTTTTGCAAATGAATCACTAATGAAGGTTTTTATGCAACTGCAAGCAAATTCTCCTTTTGTTGAACTCAAGGGTAACTGATCAGTTAAGAAATGATGCAGCTGTTGCTACCACGGTTTTAACCATTTGAGTCTAGTCTACAACCACTGCAGGTAAATCAGTACGAACCAGTGAAGCCGCCATCTGCGATGTTGAACATGAAGCGAGGTCGCTCAACCGGAGGCTTCCCGTTACCCTTGGGAGCCTCTTCTTTCGCAGCTTTGACTTCTTTCCCAACATCCTTTTCACCTTTGACCTCTTCTGTTACGACCAAAGACATTAAATGTGTTGAGCAGCACAAGTTTGTATTTATGGCAACATATAGTCACTAATAGATAAGAAGACCACTACAGTGACACACACACACCTTTCTTCAAATCGGCCACCTCAGTCTTATCTTTGACATCTGCTGCTTCTGTGGTTGTTTCCTCATGTTTTTCTTTTTCCTCCCCAGCCTTCTCTCCTTCTGCCAAAACAAACAAAGTCACATAAAACAGGTTTATGTGTTTGTGCATGTTAGCCTTTATCTCCCAACAAAGATGCCGCTCTGCTTACGGGCTTATCAAGTTTGCTTCCTTTGTTTATCCTTCTTACCTGATTTCTCCTCTTTGACATCCGTGTCCTGCTTCGATGCGTGTTTTGTCTCCTCTTTACTCTCCTCCTGGGCTTTTTTCTCCTCTGTCGTGGCAGCTGAAGCGTCAGTCGTTTCTTTCTTCTCATCCTCCTTGGGGTCACTCTCTTCTTTGCCTGGAGATGCATTTTGCGATGTTTCTTTTGTTGAGGAAGAAAGCTGTGGGGGAGACAACGACACTCTGTCACTTACTAAGTCGACATTGTTGATCAAATTTTATTAGATTTAAAAGTTATTGTATTTGTACATAAACAAGCCACACCAGTGTGTTTATATTTTGAGACCTTTTTAAAATTAATTTTATATGCTTCACATTTTGAATGACTGTGTTCCAACACACGCTGCAGTGCTTTTGTTTTTCCATCATCCAGGAAGCCACAACTTTAAACAGATTTTCACACTGTATGAAAATGCCACTCTAATTACACTGAATGTAGGCATTATTTCAAGACTGCAATGCTTGCCACGCAATTACAACGTAATTTTGGGTTTTTAATTAAAGTGTAAAAGTGAGCAGGAGCCGATGGCTGCCTGAAAATATGAAAAAGCACACAAATACTCAGACGTGCCTTGGAAAATTGTTGAAAATAATGTAAGGAACGTAGGATTTGTTGTAAATTGCACAAAAAGAAATGGTGTTCTGACGTAAAAGAAGGCTGAAAGCTTTTAAATTCTTTTGAGAACAGCCGATATCTTCTTTGTAAAATCTTAAAGTGTCAAGGTTTTACAAAGAGATGCTAAAAGTAAATATATATGAAAAATAAAAACTGCATTTGAAGTGATTGATGCACTTTTATTGGCCACTTAAAACTACAGAATAGCTGTGGAGTGTTTTGTGTTTTGAGGACCACATCCCACCTCATCAGGTTCTCCCGTCTTGTTGCCATCAACCTCCTTCCCTTCATCCTTCTCCTTGTCTTTGTCCTTCACTTTCTCTTTATCCATTGTGGCCTCCACCTCCTCCTTGTCCTCCTCCTTCTCTCCCTCCTTCCCATTCTTTTCCAACTTCTCTGCTGGTGCAGGGGTCGCTGCATGTGTTCATACATAAAAACAAAGATGCACATTCATGCACAGTCAATGGAATCCAGCTTTAATTTTATTGGTGCCCTTTACGTGGAGCGCCCCCTGCTGGAGCTGTTGTGTGTGTTGTTGTTTACCTGGCTTGGAGGTGCACGGTGTGTTGTTATAGCTGGCATCAGGGGTGGGAGTGGCGGTCTTCACAGCAGGAGAAGAGGCCCTGGAGGAGGACTTGTCTATGCTGACCTCAGGTTTAAGTTCTGGAAGACTCCACCGACCGTTGATGTGCTCAAACTCCTGGATCTGAACAAAAACATGACACACTCAGCAAAAATAAAAAAAGATTTTGGCATGCACTCACTTTACCTAATACCACCTCATTTAAACACACCACCCACATGCCCTGCTTCTCTGGCAATATATCACACGTTCCCTGTGGCACAGTTAGCGGATCAGGATGTCTGCAGGTTTAAACAAGTTGGACTGAAAGCTGGATTGAAGATGTTTGGACAAAGTAAAATAAACTGACAAACTGAAAGTAGTAGAGCGATGAAAACATCTTTCAAGATGTCATGGTAGATTTCTTCACTAGAAACATGCCTCAGACATTCTATTTACTACAACATGGCTTACTCCTTCACAGTGACCTGTAAACACATGTTGATATGGAGGCACCATATTAACACTATAATGCTTCTGATTTTAACAAAGCTTACATTATTTATGACTGGATTTTTTTTTCTGCAATAGTCCTTTAGTGTATTTCCCCTGTTTGATTCTCTGTAGAGTAGTTTTTATTGTTAGAAGTGGAGTTCACCATTCCTACAATGAAATCAATTCCTACACTTTTGTACTATTGACACAGTGATTTTAACATTTTGATATCTGCCTCACAGTTCACTGTTTGTAGTCCCACAGCTGTATAAGAGGTGAATTACTTAACTGCAAATGCAAACTAAACAGTTCCTGCGCCCACTCGAGCAGCCTGACCGTAATGAGTTGCGCAACTTCTCAGCAAGGTGAATAACTTAATGGTAGCTTGCTGTTCTGTGGTAAACGAATGAAGCTGAGCTCCTATCTCATTAGTGGCTGACTTCTTGAAAACATTTTGTGTGGTTAAGCACACACATATCTCTCTTCTGCTGTGTTTTTGACAAACTAGTTGCTCAAGGAGTGTTTTCTGGAGTACTAAACCACACTTGCTGGTAACATAGATCATCAAGAACTGAAATCATTTTGGTTTTTGTGTGTTTCTCTCTTCTTCAGTCTGTTATAGCTGTTTTTTGTGCATGTAACAGGCTAAACGGAGTTGTTCTCTCCCATAGAACACACTGCTCCTAACCTGCCTGAAACGCTTTTAAAATCTTTTCTTCCATTTCTGTGTGTACTCATAGATCTTTCATTACAGTACATAACCAATGTTACTGGCTTTCACTGGATTAGATGACCAATTAGAGCAAACTAGGATATTTGCGAGGGGCCTAAAGAGACAGGAGCTAAAACTGAGTGTTTCATACGAGCCGCAGCAGCGGTGTACAGTGTCCAAAAACTAATGCTCTTTTCAAACATTTTCCATCATCTGGTAGACCCAGAAAACACCTGTAAATGTTCAGAATATTTAAGGAATACAACTCCCAGACCTTGCTCCCTTCACCCCATTTGTCTAAATGAAGAAAGGCCTACAGCTTTAGTCTGACCTTCTTCTTGACAAGCGACATGACGCCGATACGTGTGAGGACCGGCTGGCGACACAAGCCCTCTCTTGGGACACCGTCGGCGAATGTCTCGGCCCCGTCAGCAACCGGCTCGCACAGGTGACGCATGAAGAGAGACACATAAGCTCTGGCACACAAGAAGAGATCAGAGAGAAATGATTAAATTGGACTTGGAGGAAGCTTACATCTGAACAGTTTCAGTTTTCCTTAATAGATCGTTACTTACTTGAATTCTTTCTCAGTCTTGCCCCTGAGGTCTCTAACAAGCCACTGAGAGGAGAAAGCGTCCTGAGACGGCATCCCCCAGCGCATCACTGCATTCAGGAAGGCTTTGCGCTGGCGAGTGTTGAAGCCCAGCACCTATTGAAGGAAAGCACAGGGTATCATTTCTGAGTGAAATATCTGCTGTCTGAACTGTGGATCTAATATCAGCCCGTCATAATATATCTGTGTATTATTTTTATTCTGGTGGATCTTAAATGAAAACACCACAATGAAAAAACATTTTTTTTATCCTCCTCCAGACATCAGTATTTCTCAAAAGTCCCAAGGCCTTTTCTGGATAAGTCCGACCGCCTGATAATGCTAAAATAAACTGTGAATCTAGCTTGAACAATGCAGGCCATTATAAGCACGTCCACCATTATCAGGATGATAAATGAGCTTGGAAGGGTCAAAGCTGGTGGAGATATAATAGCTTTGCTGCCATCTCCAATTTAGGATAATTAATTTTTTGTTAGATTGCAAGAAAAACATCTAATATTGCTGGTTCACTTTAAATTAAAGATGACAGACTTCAGTAATATCACAATAAAAAAGGCCAAAATGAAAGCAGGACATGTTCCAGAGCTGTACAGACCTCAAGGTTGCCTCCCACTCTGGCCAGAAGAGGAGGCAGAGGTTTGTCCTTCTCGTTCCTCAGCTGGCGACGTGACTGCCTTCGACCTGTGCATGAAGGCAGCAACAGAGAGGATGTAAGAACACATGGAGGAAAACTTGCTGTAAGAAGGGGGAGCCAGACAGATGCCGTTTGGGTTCTTTTACATTTTGCAGACTTGAAGAGTAAAATTTATAGCTAGCAGATATACAACTGAGGATCAGAAACGTTTGATTTGCTTGAAGCGTTTTCTTCAAAATTTCTGAAGCAATAGGTGGATGGTGGTTTGCATTTTTGGCAATCCACCTTGTTCGGGTTTGCCAGGGGACTGAAAGCACTAAATCAATTTCAAACCGTAATTCAACACAGACCTGAAAGTCAGTCTTACAATAGACGTCTTTCATTTGTTCATGAGTAGCTCTGCTCGGTTTGATGTCTCTTTTTCTCTTTCTTTCTCTCTTTTTTTAAAATCTCTTCTTACCTTCTGGCCGATCATCAAAGTCCTCGTCCTCCTCCTCGGAACCCACTGAATACTCGGACTGGTTATCTGAAATGTCAGCATGCCACTCTGAAACAGCACATGGTGGTCTGTCAATAGGCCAGGCCCATTCACTTCCACTGTGCAAGTATTAACTCAGACAGAAGACAGATAATCCCACTATTTCCTATTAAGATCACAAGATTAAAATAATAAATCTTAAAAACAGACTGAGGTTATTCTTAGCTTCATATGAAAAAGAACTCATTATTATATACAGTGCTTCCTAAAAGAAGATCATCTCCTCTTTTACTGCTGAGATGATCCTACTCCTGAGGTGATACTGACTTGAACCAGTTTCGAAGATTTTCCTCGCCTACTTGAGCCTCACCAGGTCCAAACCTGGTCCCTACCTTGGTCCTCCTGTGCAGCGTCGTTGTAGTTGACGGGCTTGCGGTTCCTCTTGCCTTTGCCCAGTTTGCTCGCCAGATCCTCTTGTTGCTGCTCGTAGTGATGCCGCAGCAGTTTCTCCCAATAATCTGGGTCCACGTTCTCCTCCTGCTTGATGATCTCCCGCTCGATCTCCTCGATCTGCAGCATTAGATACGTACACACAGGTTGGAAAAGGCTACGTTAGAGACCAGTTAAACAAAAGCAATGTGAAGCGTCTTTTCTGAGAGACATGCACACACAGACTCACTCTTAATTAGAGAGTCCATGTTTTTGAGACTGTCATCAGGACCGTGCAGTTTCAAGGTGGAAATGTTCAATCATGGCGTTAGGTGCTTATATTGCTCATTATATGTCTTTGAGCATATAAAAAACATCATATTGACATGTTAACAAAACTTGATTTTTAACTAAGGAAGGCTTTAATGAACATGTGATATCTGGAATGAAAAAAATAACTTACAAATCAATTTTCTGTACCAGAGGTTCCTAACCACCAGGCTGGGTTGGTTACTCAGCCACAAACAGAATAAAGGTTTTTATTTTCTGTATAGTTTTATTTTATGCTTCTCTAGTGCGTGCTCTCCCTCAATGTCCTTTAGGGAAGAGTGCACACAACATCTTAACTTTATCTTGATGTGTCCACAACTATATGTAGAGAACACTATGTACTAAATCCTAACTGCCATTTTTTTCTAAGTCCTTCTTTCTTCTCACCTTATCCTCTTCTCGGACCATGTACTGGGCCACTTTAAAGGAGCTGAGGTACTCGTTCATGTTCTGGACGTCCGAGTCATCCGTGGCGTCTTGGCTTCGGTCCAGCAGCCTCTCGATGGCAGTGCTATCGTAGTGGATGACGTTGCCCTCGTCCTCAACTTTATCACCCGCATTGTTCTTCATACCTGCCAAAAGCGGCGTTACAAAGTGGGAATGGTTAGTCTTGTTCTTGAAGACCAGTTTAATGAAAATAAATGTTCTTGTCAACCAATTATTCCATCAATAAAACCAGAATATGCCAAGCATGCATTGAGGCCAAACTTGTCAAGATGTTTAAGTGAGTGTATTTGACAAAATAATTCTCCTCAGGAGAAGAATTGCCTGCCAAACCTTCTGAATCAGAAACAGTCTCACCCCAGCTTTGATCATAATGCCATCATTAATATATTTAAGTGAAAATCCTAATTTTATTTGTCAAAAACATCCAGGCTGTGTAGTTTCCAAATTGAAGAACAACTGCTGTCACCTTCTCCCTCGTCCTTGAAGAGCTCTTCTGTCCCAAACTTCAGGATGTCATCCAGCTCCTGCTTGGTCATGGAGCCAGCCTTGGATCCCAAACCTGGCCGGACTACTAGGTGGGTTAGCATCATCTTTCTCTTGGCCACCTGGGTGATGCGCTCCTCCACGCTGGCTCGTGTCACAAAGCGATAAATCATCACTTTATTGGCTTGTCCAATACGATGAGCTCGACTGAATGCCTGTGTGGAGAGGGACAATTTAGGTTTGGATACAGAGAAACTTTACCATGTAGGGAATCATTTTCTTCCACAGCTGGTCGAACAGCACCTGAATGTCGTTGTGAGGATTCCAGTCAGAATCGAAGATGACGACGGTGTCTGCTGTGGCCAAGTTGATTCCTAAACCTCCGGCTCGGGTGGAGAGCAAGAAACAAAACTGGCAAGCACCAGGAGCTGGAAATGGAGAGAAAAGGAGGACATAAGAGAGCAGCAACATGCCATTTTTATAAATAGTTTCTCTCAAATGACACGTCCTGTGGAGAGGTAGATTAATAGGACGAACAATAAACACCAATGACTTAGCTGTTGGTTCACCAGCATTTCAGTCTACATTCAGCTCAGTCGACTTGTCTGATTCTTTAGGGATGTCTTTATTGTTCCATTTTCTAACAGACACACCCTAATTGTTCTGCTTTTGATATGAAAAAAACTTTTATGTTGTTATAGTTACCATATACTGTCTGTGGAGAAAAAACATCAAATGAAATATTCATTCTCATTGTTAATCAGAAAACAGGAACACTTCTGAATAAAGTCGGACTCTGATTAAAGTTATTTGAAAGCACAATGAGTTTGCAGAACACAAGGACTTCTATATTTAGGTATTCCTATTGTGTTTTCTTGTGCAGCTCTAATGCTTCATTACATTTTAACATTGGCAGTTACCTAAAGTAGCAAATGCACTTGTACCAGCTCCAGGAGATGCATCACTCAGCTCTTGGCTATTTCTCATACTATATAATTTATCGGCATTCATTGCCAACAAATGCTTAAACATTACAATGATATTCCACGTGCAGTCCTGCATCGTCAGACCTAACTCCACAGCAGGTGTATCAGTGCTGAACATTAACATTCTGATTCAAATCTTCTGCAAAATTGCCATTTTTAGCATGTACGTTGCTGATGGGGGAGGACAAAGCCGAGCGAAATGCAGAACAGAGATGGGAAACTTATATTTGAAGACTTTATCCGGTGAGTCAGACGATTCCTCATGAAAGCAAACATAGTATCTGAGCCACTCAGGATCCTTTGTAGAGGAACAAGTCACAGATACAAAACCCTCTGGAACAATTTGGTGTTTCTTTCTTCCTTTTTAAAAAAAAATACTGCATGTAGTCTTTTGCCTTAGTTGTGTATCTTTTCTGACACTGAGAGAAAACAGAGGAATGACACGCAGCAAATGATTCTCGGCTGGGTTTTGCTGCTCATATGTGTACCTGTGGTATGTGCATTAACCACTCACACCCAACTTGGCGGTATTCTTTTTTTTTAAGTTATTTTTTGGCCTTTTTGCCTTTATTAGATAGGACGGTCGAAGAAGAGACAGGAAAGTGGGGGAGGAGAATGGGGAAAGAGGTTGCAGCAAAGGGCCACAAGCGTGATTCTAACCCATGGCTGCTGCATCAAAGACTATAGCCCCTATACATGGGTTGCCAGCTCAACCAGGTGAGCCAAAGCAGCGGCCGGTATTTTTAAACAAACACTAATGGACAGTTTTCCCCCAATGTCCTTCCATAGTCTATAGACTCTTAGCTCCTCAGACCTGAATGTACAAAAGGAAAATAACAATGCAGTACTCCTACAGTACTTTGTATTGCAATGTACTACCTCTTCTTTAGGCATTTATGTCAGAATGCTGGTTTCATCAGTTAAGTCTCTCTGACAAAGTGTCTCTGCCTCTTAACTATTTCTTCGGTTTTTCCAACTGTGATTCATGGCAACAGGAGGCGTGTATGATAATGTGACTCCTACTCATCCTCAACTGAGTGCATCTGAGGTCAGCTTACTGCACATGATGTGGGATCTTACCGTTGAAGCGGTCGATGGCCTCTTGCCTGAGCGCTCCCGTGATGCCTCCATCAATTCTCTCATACTTGTAACCTTCGTAGTCGAGGAAATCTTCTAATAAGTCCAGCATTTTAGTCATCTGAGAACAAAGGCGGCAGAGAGAAACTGGTCATGTGTGCATGTTTTCATCTATACTTGATTACCCATGCAGCCGCACAGCTGGAAACGCAGCCTGCTGCTGAGCCTTCTGGAGGTGTCATGGGATGAATATAACATCTGCGTAGGGACATGCCCATCTGGTGTGCTTGTGTGTGAGTGTATATGCTTGTCTGTGTTTATGCGTGCTGTATGTCGTACCTGTGAGAAGACCAGCACTCGGTGGCCCTGCTCTTTCAGTTTTCTCAGCATCTTCTGCAACAGCATCAGTTTTCCGGAGGCTTTAGTGAGAGCCGACCCCTCGTAAGCACCGCTGGGGGTTTTCTGGGCTTCCTAAAAACACACAAATAAAGCCTTAAGGTGAACACTGGTGGACCACTCTGTGCTGCAAGCTGTGTCAGAAATATCTTCACTGCATTCTTATAAATTAATGAATATTGTGAAAGTCTCACAATAACAAACCTCTGCATCTTAATTTATTTTAACTTCATACTTCTTTTTACTATTTTCTATCTATAATGTGCAACTTATAGCACTACTTACAGCACAGGTACAGGAAGGAGGCACTGTGACACATTACCACAAGGTGTCACTGTCCCACAATTTGCGATTAAATTAATCACTTAAAAATAAGTGAAATTCAGCCTAAGAATGACCAACTTAGACTGTGTAATTAAACAAAGAATAAGTCATTTAGGTTCCACACATAGAATTATGTTGCAATAATTAATTTCTACTTTTTTTTCATAAAACCTTATACTTGGAAGGAGTTCTCACCATAGAGGCGACAGGGAAGAGGTAGGGGTGGTTGCAGCACTTCTTAAGGTCCATCATGATGTTGAGCAGGGAGACCTGATTTCCTCCGCCTTTTGAGTTCAGAGCCTCAAAGTTCTTGGTCAGAATCAGCTTGTAGTATTTCCTGTTTTTAAAAAACACAAAGAAAAGATTCGATCAGCAGATCAGATTAAGATAAACTTATTTCCTTTTTCTCCTCTCTGCGATCCATTATTCAGTTTTGCATGATAACATCAAACACTCTGGACAGTTTGTTTTCTCTTACTAAAGAGTTTTCTCAGTTTCTACGTCAGCATAATTTATCAGATTTACAATTGAAGGAAACCAAACTGTAATATGCATCGATGGAATGGCTGCTGTAAGTAAAAAGGAAGCAATAAATCTCTATAAATCACATTAATTGTCACATAACAGTGGTTTTAGATCAGTATGTGGTTTGCTGATTCCCGTTAAATCTAGTAATTACAGCCAGTGTCTTAAATGTTTCAAGACGTTCATAGAAAACATATGGTTTTGCATGTGCCAGTTAGCAACTTTGCAACTGCCTGATTAGCTGCAGACAAGGCAGAAAAATATTCCATATTGATTTTGTCAGTGACGTACTTCTGCATAGGGCTAAGTTCCACTCTGACAATCAGCTCGGTCTTGGCAGGCATGTTCTTGAAGACGTCGGCCTTCAGCCTCCGCAGCATGTGAGGCCCCAGCAGGTCGTGGAGTTTCTTGATCTGGTCCTCCTTGGAGATATCGGCAAACTCTTCCAGAAAGCCCTCAAGGTTGCTGTGCACAGAGAGGGATTGGGTGAAGACTGTAACATGTGTCTTTATCACATAAATAAGGACGGTATCAACATATATTATCTGAGTGCAATTAGTTCTAAATGGTATTTATTGTGAAAATACTTATTAAAGAGGAAATATTATGCATGTTTGCAAGTTTATAATTATATTTTTAGGGTCTACTAGAGTATTTCCTCATGTTAACGTTTTAAAACACATTATATCGGCTCTTTAATTGTTTTAATCAATTAGTTTAAGTCAGCAAAACTTGCCAGACAGATGGCATCATTTTGTCTTTATGTCTGTGCGTTAGAGGGAGAGAGGTCCTACTTGAAGCGGTTGGGGGTGAGGAAGTTGAGCAGGTGAAACAGCTCCTCCAGGTTGTTCTGCAGCGGGGTTCCTGTCAGCAGCAACTTGTGGTCGATCTTGTAGTCGTTCAGACGCCTGAAAAACTAGACACAAGCACAAGAAGAAGCTGAGCTCAACTCTACATAAATCAATAATATTTTTCCACATGGGATAGAAAAACAGTGCTACATCAAAAAAAACAAAAAAAACATAATGTGTCTTCTAATTAGTTCAGTCAGTTGTAATACAGCCATTGGCATGTGGTTGTCAGTGTTCATTTAGAAGTAGCTAAATGAAGGCATTTATATTATTATTATTATTATTATTATTATCAGGGATGTATCGAGCATCTGCTTATAAGGCCAGTGGTACACTTGGTTGACAGACTGGCAGATGATTTGTCTTATAGGTTTATTGTTGTGTTTTCAATATATGACTGCCTAAAAAAGTAACTGTAATACTAGAATGAACAAATAAGGTAAATTTAATTAACTAAGAAAGTGTTGCAATTGCACAGTTTGTCCACCAGAGAGAGCTGAAGCGCATTAACAGTGACACATGTACAAAGGGACAATACCTTGGACTGATTGTTCTTAAGGCGGTGAGCCTCATCCACCACCAAACAGGCCCAGTCGATGGACTTGAGTGCTGTCTGGTCAATAGTCACCAACTCGTAGGAGGTCAGCAGCACATGGAATTTAATTGGAGCCTCTCTCTGCAGGAGGAGAAACAATGGATGAAGGATGAGCAGATGTCATTTTTAAAATCTTGTCCCTTGTTTATGCTATGGTGATTATTCTTTATTGCCATCAATCCTTTTATTACCCTCAGTTTGAAGGCCTTCTTTCCTCCTTTGACAGCCGTGTCGTCAAACGAGAACTCGTTCTCTCTGATGATGGCTCGGCTGTCCTTGTCTCCTGTGTACGTGACCACATAGAAGTCGGGGGCCCACATCTCGAACTCCCTCTCCCAGTTGATGATGGTGGAGAGCGGAGCGCTGACCAGGAAAGGACCCTTAGTGTGACCCTGACGTGCACAGAGAGGAAAATCAGCATTGTGATGGATTGCGAGATTTGAAAGGAGCTTCAACACAACACAAACAAAATTAAGTCAAGCACCTCTTTAAAAAGTGAATAGAGAAAGACGATGGTTTGGATGGTCTTGCCCAGGCCCATCTCATCTGCCAGGATGGTGTCAGTGCCCTGAGCCCAGGAAAAGCGAAGCCAGTTCAGACCCTCCAGCTGGTACAGATGCAGAGTACCACCCGTTGATGTGACAAAGTCTGGCTGCTCCTCGTATTTTATCGTAGGCTGGTGGGACAAAAGAAGACAACAAAGAGGAAAGTTAATTGTATTCTAAACAATGAACTATTATTATACTGTCATCATTATGGACTTAATAATGGTTTATGTATCGGTAGTATTACGCAGAGTAAAAATTATGAAAATCTATTCAGTAGTAGTGTAGTTTTACACAGAAATGACCCTAAAACTGTGCAAAATACTATGAAAATAGAGGGAAGACTGATATGCAACATATGTGTGATATGCAAAAGGTGTGAGTTTTTGCCATAAAAAAACAAATCTCAATTTGGGATAAATATATTGTTTTGCATAGTTTATGAGGAAAATCATGTAAACTGACCAAATTTACATAAAGTATGCTAGCAGCTGAGAGAAACTCCATGGATGTTGACATAGATGGTGTCTGTTTTGACAGCACAGACAAGCACCAGCTACAAATCAAATTATACAATAAAGAAACTAAAGTTACAGTTAACTCACATCAGTGACCGGTGAGGCAGGAGACTCATCTTCACCCTCTGAGTTCTTGCTCCTCATCTTCTTGGGTTTGTCTGGGTCCTCCTTCATTATGGCGTCCCTGTTTAACAGAAAGTTATAATTTCATTACCACTAAGCTGGCAAGATGCTAAGAGGTGGGATCAGATTCACCAAGAACATTTACAAATATGACTATTCATGAATGTAAAGCAGTGAGGATGCTGATAAAACTCCAACCCAATGAAAATAGCTGATTTGCTGTAATGAATAAAAATAAACAACAAAAATATGGCAATGTTTAGGGTCCTTCAATTAAACCTGGAAGCATCTCTTGAGTCTTGGAATGTTTTTGGTTATTTTTCTCATAATATTAGTGGGTGTGAAATATGTTCTCCATTGTCCCACCTGTGTCTCCAGTAGCTGGCCTTGTAAATCCCAAAGTCAGGGATCTCCAGGTCGTCCCTCTCCCAGGTACACTGGTCATAAGTCAGATCTCTCCACTTAACCAGGTAGTGGTATGTCCCCTTCTTATCCACACTGGTAGGGACACACATGCCGTACATTAAGTGGTGGGACTACAACCTTTACCTTTGCACTGCTCACATGCATACCCCCGTTACCTGTGGTTAATGATGCGGTGAATCATCATCCACTCGGGCTTGATGCCATATTTGTAGTATTTTTCCTCCAGGATGGCAAACTGGGGGTCTTTGGCCCTCCTCTTCTCGCTCTTCCCCACTCCGTTCTCATCCTCTCCACCCGAGCCGTAATCCAGGCTGGGAGGCTCGTCCATGTCCGTCTTCCTCTGGTAGTTTCTGTACATCACTGAGTGGAAGATCTCCAGCTGAAGGGATAATGAAATAAGTTGGTCAGAAGGTAAGTTTTCCCTATTTTAGGCAGATTTTCTATGTAGTGTTTTGCAAAATGTAGCATTTGTAAGATACCAGCTGACAGCTAATCATAAACAAAAGTGCTCATCTGTATATTCAACTGATGTTCCATTTTGCACTTATGTTTATGTCTTAGCTAAATATACATCCAATATTTATCAACGGTTTTTAAATAGAGTAAGATATGGTTACAGTTTTACATGTAGCCTAAAATAGCCTCAGCGAATGGCTAATGCAGGGCCTGTACTAATAGCTGAAGTACTAAAACAAAGGAAAGCATTGAGGATAACTAAAGTTCTTTTCCAAATGAGGATGCATTAAATTACCAGTAACCACTTTTTTGGCTCCTGATGCCGAGGATTTAATTATAATAAATGAACATGTGATTGTTAATCAAAAATTACAGCTTCAGCGAAGATTTCCATTCTTGGATGGCTCCATTTAAGATTTTTAGAGACTCAAAGAGGAGAAAAATCTGAATAAGATATACAAAATTGTGTGCAGTTTTATTTACTGGCTTCAAAAATTTGGGGCACAAATTGTAATATATTCAGAGCAAGAATGACCCATGAAGCCCAAACAGCTTTACAGTTCAAACTGCTGCAAACACTAACACTCATTCTGGCAAATGATGTGTTGTTTCAGTCACATATCTAAGTGTTGGAATCTGCAGCTTTCTCCTCTCATCATTCTTTACAGCCGTCTCTCTGCTGATCTCTTCTCTCTCACCTGCAGCTCAGTGATCCAGGTACAGTGCCAGTAGGACTGCCCGGTCAGCTTGACAAAAAACTCCCTCTCAGCTCTGCCTTTCATAGGAGGTGGTGGCGGGGCATCAGGTGGGGCGTCAGGAGCAGGTGGAACAGGAATGGGAGGCGGAGGCTCGCCCCATCGCCAGTGGAGGATCTTCTGCACACGTCCTTTGATTGGTGGACACTGGAGCAGGAGTATACTTTTACAAAAAACATCTAAATATGGTTGTTCAATTAAACAAGCGAGTATAGATATGTAGGGTAGATAAACCAATCAATATATATGACAAGAAAATCAGACGGACTATAAATCAAGCGCAGAATTGGACACCAACAGCAAAAGCCAAAAGCTGAAACTAGACCAGAGGAGTAACTAACCGTGCAGCGTGGACACAGCCACTCTCCGTTGGGGATCTCTGGCAGCGGCGGGTTTAGACAGTGGATGTGGTAGGAGGATGTGCAGGTGTCGCAGCACAACAGTTCACCTCCATCTTTACACACCCGACAGAACTCCATGTGGTCATCATCCTCCTCCTCTGCTCCGGTGGGGACCCCCGCGCCGACCTCTGATATCACTCTGTCCTCGCTGTCCTCTTCAAAATCCTCAAAGTCTTCGTCTTTTGCCTCCCACTGGATTCCCTCTTTCTCCTAGAAAAGCACACACAAAAGCAAACTTCTTCAACTGAAGAAAATCTTGAATATATGAGGTCAGTCAAAGTGGTGTTTTTATTTTTATTTATTTTCTGACTGGTATGTGGCCACTTTTATACCTTTGTTTCTGGCTGGCAGTAGCGGTGACAGGGAACAAGAGCCAAGACAGATACAGGGGCAGACATGCAACCCCTGATCCCTAAGCCACCAGGCTGCCTTGGCTTTTTGAGCAAAATTAACTGTCAAGGTGAATCCAGGCTATAGCTATGAATTTTATGGTCTTCAAGTACACATTTGACTGAGAGATAAAAGATAAGAGGGAGGGAGACTCAGGAGACATCCAATGGAGCTGCTCAGGTACTGTATTAAGTCTATGAGTGTGAATCACAGAGTTCATGAAAAATAGATCACTGCTCTGAGTGAACCTATTCTGGGTGAACAAAGGTTAAAAAAAGAACAATCTAATTTATGTAACACCTATGTAACCCATATTTGTCGCCTACTGTCCCTGTGCAACAATGACTATAAAGGTAAATGTTTGAATGGGTATAACAAGTTCTAACAACCTGGAAAGGGAGGTAATATTCAGAGAAAAAAACTCTGACTTTATTTACAATTACAATTCTAGAGAAAAAAGTTGTACATTCATGAGAAAAAAAACTCATACAAACACATTCTCAAAGATTAAAGTCGTAAATTTAAGCTACAACACCCACAAATGTACGAGAAACAATTTAAAAAAAAAAGAAAACTGTAGCACAGAGAGGAGGATAAAAGGAAATTGTAAAATTAGAAATGTCACTCAGGCCTCCTGCAATAACAAAAAATTAAAGTTTAGTTCTTGTAACTTGTAAGTCTGAAAAAATAAATCCGATTTTTTTTTTTCTTGGCAGTTTTTTGCCTTTTTAACTTCGGGGATTTTTTCGTTTTTTTTTTCTTGCATTTTTCTGCTTTTATTTTTTGATTTTTTTTTTTTTTCGGATTTTTCTTCTTTTTTAAATTTTTTTTTTTAAAACCCATTGGCCTGAATGTGCTGTCGCACTGCAGTGTATTTCCATTCAAGTCACTGATAAACCTGAGAACTACATTACATAATTACCAGATAAAAGTTTCTGTGTCAGCTCTCTGCCTGTCTTGATCTCTCTTTATCAGCCACTAATGCACACTTATTATTTCTCTCTCATTTTCTCTTCTTTCGCCTCTCTCTCTCCCTCACTACTTTTTTTTTTACACATTTCAACACCAGTATTGAATTTATCCCATTTCTGACAGTAATACCAGGTCATCCACACAAACAGAAAACCAATGCAGGTCCATCTAAATGGGATAATTCTAGCTGAACAATTTGAAAGATGCTATAATCACATAAAAGTCTACACATAATGGACTGAATGACTGCCCGTGTTTTGGTTTTCATCTTCCTTTTGTAAAACCTCCCACAGCAATTTAGTCAGCAGTTTCATACTGGCTTTCTTGAAATGCACACACAGTTCAACTTAATCAATACGACTAAACTAACTTGTTTTGCATCAGACACTGGGTACAAAAGAAAAAATTCCACTCTGTCATGGCAACTACGAATTAGCATTCAGTTTTATTTGTGAGATTAATGAATAGATTTACACCCACAGCAACGCTTCAGGTATCTGCCTTTGTCTGAGTAGGATTTTGTACATCTAGATGCAGCCAGTTTTCTACTCAGACTTGTGATGGAACTACAAAGCTTCTATTCATCTAATCCACCAAGTGAGTAAAAACAAACCGCTTTTAATAAACAGTTTTTTTTTCCCCGCTCGCGTTTGCCAAGTAGCCATGTCACTTGGCAATAAATGTGAGTATAAAGATGCAAAGCAGAATTATAAATAGAAAACAGGAGCGGATGTGCTCCTGTGTAGTTGTACTTACGCAATGGGGGCAGCTCCACTTGCCCTCGGGAGCCTTGTCGAGCTCCGGCTCCAGGCAGACGAGGTGGTACGCTCGAGGACAAGTGTCGCACAGTATGATCTCTCCACCCTGCTGACAAACCTCGCAGTAGTCCTGATGATCCGTCTCATAGCCGTCTCCCTCCTCCTCACCTGGTACTGGAGGTAGCAGGAATAAGGAGACAAATAATTTACACAGTCTGTTGATTATTTTCTCCATTAATTCATTAGCTGTGTTTGGCTATTAAATGTCAGAAAATGTGTGTTGCTTTGTCCGCAACTCATAGATATTCAGATAAGTGTCAAAGAAGAGTAAAGAAGGCAGAACATATGAAATTATAAGAAGCTGGAGTCAGAGAGTTCTCCTTTTTCTTCAAAACATACTCTAACCATCTATCAACATCGCTGATAACTAATTGATTAATCATTGCAGCTCTATTCTGAAAGTGCTTTTCACACTAAAAATGAACTGAACTGTTCCGTTTTAATTGCATTACACAGATGTCCATGCAATCTGACATGTGGGCTTCAACAGTACTTTCCACTGATGCATCAACTAAAATATTGAGTTTCAGGTGTGTGTTGCGTTTTCCTTTAGACTCAAAGGTACAAACGAAAAATGCAGCTCAAGTGCTTTCTGTGTGGATGTGCTGTAAAAGACAGAGTGAATCTACAAAAGATGAAAGTGCCCCATTTTTCTAATTCAACTTTGTGCAGGTTGCTAAAATGAAATGTTTGTGAACAGTATTCATCCCCGTGAGGTGACAAATTAAACCTTGAAAGCTCCTGGCAGACAAAGAGCAACAAGTGGTTCTTGAACACCATCATCTAGTATCTCTTATGCCCCTTGTATAATGATTTAAATCTCACTCTGTGCCACCAATATTCAAAGTTGTTTCACTCAGATTTCAACTGCAGTGAATTTTCTTGCTGTCTGAAACAAAACTACAAGAGTTGAACTCCATTATTCCTTTGGTTTCTAAAAAGTTCAAGTAAACTTGACGGAGTTATAAGATGGATGCGTACATGGAGACTGTACATCATTTATAATTATCTGCTGTACATACAACAAGCCCGCTGTGCTTACTTTTCTTCTTCTTCTTGGCAGGCCGTCCTCGCTTGTTCTTCTTCACTCGGCCGGAGCTGTCAGAGCGAACCGAGGAGCTGTGAACGCTGGAGTCCTCCTGCTCAGACTCATCCTCATCCATGTCCTCGCTCTAACAGAGCGCAAGGAAGTGTGGGGGAAGTGAGTGAAGACGGGAGGAGGGATAAACAGGTAGCAAAAACAAAGGAAATAACAGGTCCGCTTATTTATCTCCATCCATCCGTTTCTTTCAGCACCATATAAAATTTATACTCACTGAGCAGCTCTTCTTCCTCTTGGCACCTATAGGCGACAGTTTAATACGAATGGGTGCCATCTTTTTAGCCTTAGCCACAGCTGAAGCCTTTTTCTTGTCTGGAACTCGAGGACTTTTACTGCGCTTCTTATAGCCTGGACCTGGACACAAAAGATCACATGCATTATTCAAAATAAAAGAATGACTGTGTAATGTATTAGCAAAGCAGTGGGAGTAAATATGATGTTTGGATACACAGTACACTTAGTTTATTGTCCCACATTAGCATGTAAACCACAATATAGGTAAACATCTGTTCACAAGACAGAAGGGCAACATGTGTTACAGATTAATGATGTTCTATCATGTGCCTCTTAAACTTCATATTATCCTGGTGGCCTAATGTCACAATGATTACATCAATAAAACATGTCCATCTGCTTCACCACTGCTTTAAGAGATTAACAAACAATCACAAATAACACAGAAGCTTAAGGAGTACAGGAGACAGAAGGCTACAGGTCGAAGGCTGGCCACTGACCTTTGCCCTCTTTCGTCTTGGCCTTTCTAATTGGTGGCGGCTGAGGTGGCGGCTCAGGCGAGGCGGTCGCTGCAGAGACCTGCTCGGCAACAGCGATGGCGGCGGCAGCAGCAGCCGCTGCAACAGCAGCAGCGTTGCCTTTGAAGGGGTTGTTGGAGCTGAACTCCCTCCACTTGGCCCCCAGGATGGTCATCATCTTTGACATGGGGATCTTAGGGTTCTTCTTGGCTATCATTGGCCTGGGAGCGAGAGGTCATGTTTTAAGAAAGAAACCACATCTGCACAATGCATAAACTTTCACCTTATTATCGGAGCGGTGTTCAGGATGCTCTGTTAACTAAAAATGATTTAACTTTTGCTGAGTGTCAGCTGTATTTTACATGAACTGCGGACAATTTGGCTGAGAGGAGTTGATACAGCCAAATCTGACAACCAAATAACTCCCCAACATAAACATGCGCTCGGCATTACGGATTACTTAATGTTATCAGAGTCAAAGCATGTATGAGTCAGCCACAGAGACCGAGGCTCAGGCTGCAACTGACACAGTGTCAGCGCTGCAGCCTGACTAATACAGCAAGCTGGGATGATAAAGACGCAGCTGCCAGAGGAAGACAGGAGCAAGTAATCGTACTCAACCCAAACTGCGTGTATCTGAGTTTATTATGCTGCTGGTCGTTTCACCCTGAACAGTTCTAGTTGAATGCTGATGCCGGTGCAGAATGATTTTGGTCCGATCAAAGTTAAACAGAAACCAATAATCAGCGCAAACAGAAACAAGAGAGCAGCTGTGGCTGAGGTGGAAGGACTGAAAACAGCAGAGAAGGAGCGTTGAACTGGCAATACTTGAATGATTGCAGTAAAAGCTGAATATAGCAAGTTTGTTAATATTATTCTAAATGTTTTCTAATGACATTGGTTTGTCTCTGTTGTGTACTTACTAACACTGCTGCCACTATGAAAGCAGTCACACATGGTTAGATGACACTGTGATTGTTGAATCAGCCATTAAATAGTAGCTCTGTTAGCCAGGCAACAAGAAAATGCTTATTTTCAATCGTCAGAAATAACATGTAGGCACATACAGAAAGAGTTCTCCATGTCCAAACTAGTCTTATCACATCAGCCGAGCACTGGCGTTAAGCGTCCTAGCACATGTAGACACTGTGAGACAGGCCCTCAGAGTAAGAAACAATATAAATCTATCGCTATAGTTCTGACCAAAAGCACACACTCAACATCCACATAGGTAGCAGCAACACTTTCCTTACACTTAGGACATCCTTCAGATTAGTTTTAAGGGCTTTGACTCTCACAGTCTCTCCCAAACGAAGGCTTGTCCTACCACATTAAAAATCTAAAGTTGTATAGGATAATTACTCTGGACTGCAACCGTGGAAGGTGTAACACAAAGTCTACCAGCCTAGAGAGAATAAAGGTGCGTTGAGCTGTAAATGCAGCAATACTGACACACATTTTCAGACAATCTCTTCTAAAAGACATCCATAGTGTTGCACTTGCTTGTAAAAAGTGAGAAATTTACTTCTGTCAAACTCTGCCTCCTTTTGCACCTCAGCACAAGCCGAGACACTGAAACAAACACAACTACTTGAGGAGATTTCGCTCCGCCCCTGCACTGCATGTGTGGCTGTTTCCATGCCTTAATGTCACCTACACCTACAGGCAGCAACATGTGAAAGCAAGAGCGCCATACCTCATAAACTGGCTGAAGGCTTTATAGTTGGTGAGTTCCCTGTAGTCCTCCTCTGTGAAGGTATGATCAACATCCTCCAGACCCCACTCCTTTGCCAGCTGGGCAGACGTCTTCTGCTCTATCGGTTGCTGAAAGAACGCACCAATCAGTCCAAAAACAGGGGCCGACTTGGCAAAAGACGGCTTTGGGGCTTTCGGGAGACAAATTGAAATTCTTTACCTTTGTCGTTTCCTCTTGACTGCTGTCTCGGTCCCCGTCGTCTTTTTTCTTCTTCTTGGTTTTCTTCTCCTTCCTTTCTTTATGTTTCTTCTTTTTCTTTTTCTCACCAGAGCCATAGTCGCTGGCTACGCTGTCTGAGTTCTCGCCGTAGTCCCGTTCTCTATCCGAGTCTCTCTCTACATCACTGTCCTGTGCAGTAAATGAAAGAAAAGTAATTAAGGCGACGCACTGTGGTCATCAAATTGAAAAATCCACAGACTGACAGACAGCCTAATGAACTTACAATCTTCTTGCGCTTTTTCGCTTTAACAGGTTTCCCCTCTTTGTCTTTCTTCTTCGCGTCCTTCTTTTTCTTTGGCCGGCCTTTCTTCCTGCACGGGACCTCTCTGTCTGATATCTCTGGCTCTTCGTCTGACAGAGACACCGGACAAGAGACAGGGTTAAACAAAGCTTGAAAGAGAGACAGCTATCAGACTCTGCTAAACAATATAATCTTCTCCGAACGCTTCCCAACAAGCCAGCTAATCCCTGCTGAACATAATTACACACAACAAAAGCTGCATGATAGCCACAGTGGCTTCAGTGACCTCTGACCTTGTCTGAATTGTGACACATGTTAAATTAGACAGAGTTTATTAGAGGGCTGTAAGTAGATTTGACAGTTGGTATTAGTGTTATTATCGCAGGCGGATAATTGGTTTATGGCGATGCAAAGGGCGACCAACGCCTTTGTAAACGAGCCATCTTTGGTGTTTGCTGCTGAGGATCATTTTCCAGCAGTAGTGTTATCTTTACAAAACTTTTCATTTCAGGGAAACACAAGTGGTAGGCATACAAAAGCTTCAAAGCCTCAGCTTGTCTTGTATCATAGAGGTCTGTGAGCCACAGTGCATCTAAAATACATGACTGTATCTGTGCTTTCAGGGAGCAGATGATGTGAAAATGTCAGGCCAGTTATTCCCTATGGTACCTGGGCAATATCCCAACCACAGGGAAAGCAATTTAACCTGCAACCTGACCTGGCTTGGAGCTGGGAAGAGGAAAACACAGAAAAGACACAGGCCTCAGCTTCAGAGGAGAAGCAGCAAAGCGTTAAAGCATAACCAAAATATGGGCTGCGGTCTCCGCCAGGCAACCAGCCTGTTTGATAGGTTTTGTCGGATTTTATTGTCTGCCTTGCCTTTGTTGGTGCGCGCTCCCACCAGCAGCAGCAACAGCCCCCCACCACCACCTCCTCCTCCTCCTCCTCCTCTTCACTCCCACCCCGTCCAACGAAGCAGCCCCGCTTCCCGCGTATCCGTGCAGCGTGCAGCCGCCGAAGACACGCCGGGGGCGGCAGCAGCACGCACGCAGGGCCCGGTGATTCAAAGGCCGCCGGTGCGGTGAACTGGAACGACTTTCTTTTCCCGCTCTGCAATTCCCACACCGGGACCCCGACCACTGCTGTGACCGCTGCAAGAGGTCGTAAGCGGGTTAAGGTCCTCGACGGGAAGCCCGACACTAATTTATCTGTCTGGCTTGTTATGGCGGCGGGTCCGGAGCCGAGCTAATTAAGTCTAAAGACAATGCAATGGATCATCCCTGTATTATTCAAATAGCAAATTATATCATCACCACCCTTCTAATTCCACCTTCTGACACATTTACTGTGACTTTTAAAATCACACCAGAGCCTAATTATTCTAATAACTGGACGCATTTATTAATTAATAAACTGCAACCTTGCAAGCTCACAGTGAGACAAGCTTTACTTTCACTGCAACTTCACTGCCACGGAAACTTCCAGAACATCACATGCATTCAATCAATCACCGTTTTACAAGATCAATACTGCATATATCTGCCGAGAAGGGCAACTCCTGCGGTGCAAACATCCAGCTGCGTGGTGCAAAACGTACAGACATGAGGAGCGTTTAGTGGAAGTGACTACCAGAGGCAGCTGCACCTTTCTGTCCTGCGAGTGAGCAGCATGCAGCAGCTGTGTCCTATTTTGACCTGTCATAGCGACAATGGGGGTAGTGACAGCGGGGCAAGTTTCTGTGTCTGACACCATGATTTCACACTATCATCCGGCTTTCATGTCTGCACAGCAAAACGCATCATCTGCTCTCCTCCAGACGGGTATCACATATAAATATAGCCTGCGGCCAGTGGGGACTCCATGTTTTACCAGTCTTTCTCGCCGTGAGCTTTTTTACCCTTCAGGGCGACCTTATTACCCCCCCAGCTTATTTACATGCCCTGCGTGTCTATAGGAGCTGTCAGAGGGGAATCTTTTAAAAGGACAAACAAGCTGCAACTTTTTTCTTTCCTGGCTGGTTGGAGAAGTGAGCTTGCGACGACAAAAACCTCCAGCTGCGGCAAGTTTAGTTTAAACTTTTGTTGGGATGTGCTAGAAGGTGAAGAGGAAGTGGAGTGAGGACGATGTGCGCACACAACACAACAAAAACACGCTGTTTTTTTTGTTTTTTTTTTAATGATCTGCTATTCGTGTTGTTTTTCTTGCATTTTTTTCTTGCAAACTTATGCGCGCTCTCGTTGTTTTTTTTTTCCCCTCACCAAGCTTCTCTTGCAAGCTGCAAACATGGCACCTACAGCCACATATAGATGCACTGACAGGAGAGGATATTAGAGGTTTAGGTGATGTGGGTGTTTAGGAAAATCTCAACTATTATTTCTTCTCTGGTACGCGCGCACACGAGTCCTGGCTGGGCTCTACTGTACGGTTCTGGACGTGGAAAAGAGGCGCAGAAATGGGGGGGCACAAACTGCGGCTACTTCTACCAAGCGCTTTTCTCCCGGATTGTTTTTTTTTTTTTTTTTTTTTCTTAAATCTTAACTAAAGTGTGTGTTTTTCGTATTTCGGGGTGCGCGCTCCCGACTTGTCCGCCAGTTTTTTCTTTTTACTGTACCTGGCGCGGCTGGTGTTGCAGTTTCCCGAGGCGCCGCCGGCGAGTTTATGTCGCTTGCGTTCTCGTCTAGGTCTCCGTCGTCGTCTTCTTCATCAAAATCTCCTCCCTCGGAATTAACCACCATGCCCTCGTCTTCCTCACAGGACCGGAGAGGAGAGGACATTATATTCCTGTCATTGGATCCGTCCTCGTATTCAAAAAAAAAAAGCGTATTCTTGCCCGAATATGTGATATTTATTTAATATTCAAATCGGCACAGAAAAAAGTGGGGGGCGTTTTGGAATATTTTACACTAGGCAGAGCAACAAAGATGGCCGCCCTCTTATATTTATTTTTTAACAACCCCCCCAATAAGAAAAAATCCCCTTACATAAAAAATGGCTGACTATATTATTTCAGAACGCACCCCCCTCCTCCTTTCTCTATCTCTCTCCGTCTCTCTTTCTCCCTCCGCGCGCCCCCTCCCTCCTTAAAAACGTACACATTGTTACAAGAAAAAGGGGTGTGTGACTGCATGTAAGTTACATTGTTACTTGTTTGTTTCTTTTCCGTCTGCCCCCCCTCCTCTCTTTTTTCTCTCCCTCTCTCTCTCTCCCTCTCTCTCTCTCCCCCCTCTCTCCCTCTCTCTCTCTCTCTCTCTCTCTCTCCAAGTCCGGATCAGTCACGAATCCGACAGACTCGCCTGGTGTCACTGTCACTTGCAAGATCACACGCAACAACTCTCGCTTTCTGCATTGCAGAGCCCGACACAAATCTATCAAATATGGCCACCTTATATTCTCCGGAGCCCCCACCGTTGGTATAAAAAAATTATTTTGGAGGGCTGTGTGTGTGTGTGTGTGCGTGCGTGCGCGTGCGTGCGTGTGTGTGAGTGCTGGGGAGGGATTGAGAGAGGGGGGTTGGGAAAATCTGCCGCAGCCATGCCCAGACTTACATCAGATTGTATTGCTTAAAAATTAACTACTTGTGGTGGGGATGAAAACAATTCACAATATGCTAACTACATTTTCCCCCCCTTTGTGAAAAAAAAACAAAACACCATCTGAAGCAGCTCGGAGCGCACAATCCAGCCCTGATGCAGAGGTTTGAGAGCAGCACAGGAGATTGTCCGAAAGCTTACTGTAAATTCTCATTAGCAGCAGGCTGTGTCAACTGGATGGCAGTAAGGCCATGGGAATCCCTAGGCCCCAGCCAGCCCCCTCAGTGGCTGCTCGGGGGCACTTTTGTTTTGACAAAAGGAATTTTGATTTGCTCTTTTTTTTTTCTTTCTTTCTTTTTTTTCTTCACATTCAAACCTCACAACGAAATCGGGGTCAGAGAGGAGAAACTGTGGCTCCACTTAAGGGGGGGAAAAAAATGCAGCGAAACATCTGGATCCTGATGAACATTTTATACACAAGGCGTGCTATATGTTTGAAATAAATGCTGTTTAATCATTCCCATTCAACACATTTTATTAGACTTATTGACTTTATTAAAAAAAGAATAAGACTGATAAAAGCAGCTGGCTGAGGAAAATAGCATCATAATGACTGATTATGTTTCCTCGAGGCAGCATTAACCTCTCACCCTTGAACACTCACCAGGCCAAATACGGGCTGAGTGAAAAGTCTGCAGCTGCATTCTGAGTTACTTTGGCTAATGTGAATCATTATTTAAAAAGCACTCGCAATTCTAAACGTGTGTGCATTTTCTGGCATCAACACCACAGCTGCACACTATTTTTATCTCCCAACAAACAAAATATTAGTTTAGTCTAATTTTAGTCCTCTTTTTGGTTCGAAGAAGAGGATGAATATTAATAAGCGAATCCCTCTGCAGCACTTTTGGTCACAGGAGGCAAAAAGCTCTTGAATATTCTATTAACTTGAGCACAAAAGCTCAATCTTGACCTTGCCAAGAGAAGTTGGACTAAAAAAAAAATCCCAACAAAAGGTTCTCTTACTAGCTTTAAATAGCAGCTAATGACCTTCAGATTGAAACAGAAGATTGTGAAATGAAGCTAATAAGAAAAAAAAATAGGCACAAAGTGGACCTTGTGTTAAGGTATTTCTTTTGTTCGCTGATGTCTGAGGAGACGTCAGGGGTCAAGCACACGTCAAGGTCAGCAGGCCTTGTAAACATTTTGACGTTTCACAGTGGAGAAATCACAAGTGTAAATAATGAAATGTCTCATGGCTGCAGGGATTTGATAGTGTCACCCTGTCATGACTTATTGGGGCACTTGGATCGAACTGAGTCATCATTAATGAGGCTACAAACGACTGCTCTCTGATCTTAACACCTCTATTGTGTTTAAAGGTGTGGATGGAGTTATTGTGAATGTACAACGGCAGGATGACCAATTGTCGCAAAGTTTGAATTCTAGTATATAAAAATATGCAAAGTAAGAGGGGTTATATGGGCCTCATTTTAAAGCTGCTAAATATTAGGGATTTACTCAGAATTGCTTATATGTGGAGGAAAATTAAACATTTTTAATCCACTGCAGCTTAAAGTCTTACTTGATAAACACACAATAGTCACGTATGAATATGGCATAACGGTCACGGCATCAATCAGCTGGTCATTTAACAACAAGCCTGACCTTTATTTTTATTATTATTATTATTATTATTGAACTAACTTCCAGAAGATATTGTCTCATGCTGTAAGATATTCATGCAGCTCAAATGCTATTGCTCTTTTAAAACTAACAATAATAATTTAGCCTTTCAATGTGTCAATTAATTGCTGTCCCGACAGACTTGTAGTCATATAAAAGAAATGTGCCATAAATTCGTGTCATCACTTTTTATAGGATCGTGTTCACAAGCAGCGTGCCTGGACTGAACTTTTGACATTGTGAGCACGTGGCCGACAGCCCGGCCTGCCCGGCCTCTGTATCCTTGTGTAACACATCGTTTTTTTCTTGTTTCGTTTTTTAGCCTCCTTGAACTCTGTCTGTACAATATGTGTAACTCCGTCAGCTGTGGGCTCCCACACCAATAACTGGATATCATGTAAACAAGCATTTCGGTTATGCCTCATCTGCTGTGCACACTCCACTCCCCGCTGCAACAGGTGCCTGAGCCGCTCCAGCTCGGCTTTGCCCGCCCGCGCCCACAAACGAGAAGAGAGGAATTTGTTAGTGCCTCATCCAACGGCCACATCTGCCAAGAGAGACGCGGCGCAATGCAAGACACACACAGAGGAGGGATGTGTGTGTCTGTGCAGGGAGGGAGCATCTGAGTGTGCGACTGGAGCCCCCCCCGCTAAGCCTCTGGCCACTGAGGTGTCTGCTGTTGCCAGATTGAGAGGCTGGCGAGGCGGACGCAGTGTGTGCAGCGTATATACCCTCACCCCCAGCATCCATGTGCACGTGTGAGGTATTTGCAGCCATGACTATGCATGTGTCTCACTGTGCCACTGCAAAAAAAAAAAAAGGGGAGGGGGGTGAAACTAGCCAGGACTCTCATATGCCGCAGGCCCTGACACACTGCACTACTGTGCTGTGACTACCCCCCTCTCCAACACCCCCTGTGTCCGTTTGGCAGGGAGGCATGTCGAGGATGAGAGAGAAAGCGCCTCCCCTGGGTGCTGCGCTCTAGCTAACCCAGATTTTATGCAGTGTGACACACAGAGGAAGACACCGGCTCCTGTGCTCCATTCAGAGCTGAGCTGTCTGAACTGAAGCGACCCAGGGAGGAGATAATGCTTAAATAACAGCCATGCAGCAGGGGCCAGTAGAGAGGAAGATGGTGTGGGATTAAATTAGAAGAGGTTCTTATTGCTTGAGTTCTGGGTCAGCATGTTCCCTAACAGTGAAACTTCCAAACAAAGTGTTTTAGGTGAAAGTATGACATATTCTTTTTGTATATAGTCTGACTTGAGCCAGTTAATGGGTTCCAATTATGGGCCTTCTGCCCTTTGAGACTTCACCAGCTTCTAAAGCAGCAATGTCAGTGTTTAATTTGCTTTAGAATCTTTTACTCTTTTTCTCGAAAGGTCTTAGCCCTCATCTCTACAGAGAAGCCTCTTCAAAACTTTCTCATTGCCTGTAAAGCCTGTCCTTGTACAGGGAATATTTGTAAGCAGCTCTTTAATGCCTCCTAACAAATACAGAAAAGGCCCTGGGGTCAGGCAGGTGTTCTCAGGTGAATTTATCAAATAACTCTGGAGAGAAAAACATGATTTATACTGTGCAATGTTATAAAAGGTTTGAAGACAAATCATTAAAGACACTATGAGACACGAAAAGAAAGACGGTAGAGTTGTCTTTCTATAGGTTTGTCCATAATTGTGTAACTATATAGAATTATAATACATAATAATCACAATAGATGTAAATTACAAAATGTAGAATATGGTGTGCCCAGTCATCTCTGCTGACTGTGTAGCAAACTTCACAAATACAGTTGATTTTCCAACAGAAATCAACCTGAACACAAATTTTAAGGTCACAGCTGATGCAAGATATCAAACAACCAGCACTAGTAGTACACTGAGAGTCAAAAAGATGTGAGGGCCTAATTCTGGGGGGGCCATGAGATGATTAACATCATAACATAATTTTCCTCAAACTTCCTCTTTCCTGTAGAGAATAATTTGACTGATTCAAGGTTGAACTGGACACTAAATGCAAACATTTAACTGTGACAAAAAGGCCAACTCGCATTCTTTTGCATGCTCAGTGAAAAGGAATCAAGGAAGGAAAAAAGTCCAAAATAGGAGCAATCCAGGATATGCTACTCACCTTTAGCTATGCACACTGTGGTTTCAAGGTATGTAGTCCCACTTCATACTATTTATCCCTCCTTCAGGGCCCAGTTAGTGGGTTATGGAGCCTGGCAGGGACTGGATCTGATAAAACAACAAGAGTTTAGCTAAAAAAAAAGTATATATATATGATTGATTGATAGCTTGGATATATTAATGCTTAGTAAATTTCAGGCCAAGCCAATGATAGGTGTCATTTCTGCTCACTCAGTGGACACATTATGTGAATTCTCATATATCAGGGTTAAGGCTGCACATATAGGAGTTAAACTATCTGTACTTTATTGTATAGAAAACAGACATCAGTCTACATTATAGTTACATGTTGGTAAGTTACTTTAAATGATACGTCCTGTGAGATTAAGATGTATTCAGAATTAATCTTGTCTTATCATATCATGTCTGAACCTGTCTCATAATTTCTTTTAGTTTCTTTTCAAGGAATGTCGCCCGCAAATTTCTAGTCTGTGTAATTTACTTATATTTTGTCAATTTTCCTTTGAATTAGGTACCAAATAATAAGGGTATCCACTGAATTGAAGCATAAATGCAGCATGCAAATCATCTTCTATTCTGATTTACAGAAAAAGTAAAACAATTAATTTCTGTTGGTATGGTTAGAAAGGGGCTGGATTTGGCAAATTGTGCACAAACCCAAATTAGTTATGTGACGCCCCTTTCAGGCAAGCACGCCTCTCTGTTAACCAGACGACAGTTGTGCTGGCATCATGTCTGACTGGACACCCTGCTCTCTCTTCTGTAAATGTTGTCATGGCAATTTCAGTAGGTCGCTCTACAATTTCACATCAATTACAAACTGAAATGTTGATAATAATCAAACTTTGCTGCGATGAAATCTGAGCTCCATCACAGCTGTGGGGATATATTTGATTTACTGTTGGTGAACTAGGAGCTAGATTGTCTTCACACATAAACAGAATTTCCGGTGTTTATGAAATTCTAGGTAAACGAGGCCATTTCTAAATTGGAAGCTTGATAAGCTTGCTGTTAGTTTGTTTAATCATTCATAAGACCACGTGGTTTACTGTCCAATGTCATGTGTATGACAAGTATCACGTACTGTTGCTCTCTCCATCACTAGTGCGTACGTCTAAATAACGCCATGAGAAACATAAGCAGAAACATGACCTATGTTTGGATGACAGAGTGCCGTCCTTTTAACAGATTGATGAAACCAGCAATGTCACGTATCCCATCCTGTCCATCTGGATGGACGTATCCGACAACTTCACAAAGTCCTTCAGGAAGAGTGTGACAACACCACACAAACCAGCACCGACAAACTCAGTGTGTTGCAGATGTGAGTCCTTACCGACCTCTGACCTCTGGTGCAGGATGCCACTCTCCATCTTTCCATTAATATTTAATAATAGTGGGTACTCGGTTGCTTCATGACTCCATTCTGTTGCATGGATGCAGTGTGTTCAAACATCGATTACTTTTTTCCCTGTTAAAAAAAAAAGAAAGCAGAGAATTGAATTAAAATATTACACAATGCATTTATATTTTTGGCTAATAAATCGAAATCTATATATAGATAAAAATTAGATATATGCACACACAATAGTTGATAAAGTCAGTGAGAAATGACACATATCACAATAGTAACTTTAGTTGTCTTTCCACTGTATTGTTTGAGTTAATGTTCTGTGTGAGCAGTAAATTATATTAAAGTCAGACTACATACATAACTTTTCAAAGGAGGAATAAAGCTTGTATAGCACATGACACTGCTAGATAAACACCTAAACTGTTTCATCAAAGAAATGAAAAGAAAAACGTATTTAAAGCAACTGAGTCAGAAGGTTATCAATAAATGAAGGTAACTTCAATACCAATTTTCTGAATTATACCGTTTAGCAAAATTTTCTTTAAAACATCATATTCTAACTTATCCAGACTAAACTGATATTATAATTTAATACTAAAAACATAATATAGATAAATGTAGGTATCTGAGTGACAGTTTTGGAGGCTAAACATTGCTGAAAAGATGCTAAAGGTCAGGTGAGAACAGTTTTATCAACTTTAGCAATAAATTCTTACATTTAATAGTTGCTTCCAGTTGTTTCTTGTCTCTTCGTTGAAATGTATGTAATATCTACCGTCATAATGGTTAACCTAGTTTGAATTTTAACGCTAAACCTGAATGTTTTATGACTCTATCAGTCTATCAGCATCCTGCTGCTCGTTCACTTTAAAGGGAAAAAAACTGGCTGCATCCGGTTTAGCAGGTCCGTCGGTGAAATCGCTCCGTAAGCAAATGTAGGAGAAGAAGAGGAGGTTATGGCAACAATGATTGAGGAAAATGGTCCTTCGACTCATGTATGTGTTTCTCACTTCTGCTTTTTAGTGTTTAACCTCAGTCGTTCGTGTTGTTTTACGTGTCGTTAAAGAGAGTTTAAAGGCGTTACTTTAAACACATTTCAATACTGTCAAGGCTTCAGTTGTAGCTACACGCTAGCCGGCGGCTAACACACTAGCTTGATCTGTCACCTGTATAGACTGTGTAAAGTTATTCTGCATTTATCAGGTAATATTTTCATCAAAATGCAAGCTACTCAACCCCAGAGTCTAAATATATATGCTCTATTTTAATCGCCTAACCGCAGGTAAGAGTGAAGCACATTTACTTGACGCTAGCTCGACAACAAACCCTGAAAATAGCAATAATAATACTAATACCTTTGTTTGTATAGCACTTTTAAAAGACAAGGGTTTACAGGGTGCTTTGACAGACAAAACAAAGCACAAATCAACATCCATCAAGCAAAATGTTTTCCAGTAGACATACAAGATTACCAAGCTAACAAATTCAAATATTTAGGTAAAGACTTCACATAATGATTAAGACCTGACAATGTTATATTAAATACAGATTTGCTTTACTAAAAAATATATATGAAGTTAAGATCCTACAATATAATGTGTGATCAATTTGTGTCTTTATATGATCTTATAGTGTTGTTTTTATATTGCTCACTGGGTCTTAACAGGAGAAAAATACACAAAGTATTGCTTGTGATACTATAAGCAACTTCTAAAAGTAACTTAAAGCAACAACTGTATCTGTAGTTTTACATAATGAATAAATACAGTGTATGTTTCTGATGGATGAACTCAAATGAATTAAACAGAGACTGAGTTCAACATCATTTTGATCAGTTTCCTTTGTGTCCTCACCCAGGAGCAGTCTGAAGTGTCCTCTTCATCTCAGGCAAGGCAGAAACTGGAGGGACTCCTGAACAAGAACATGAGGATCCGCATGACAGACGGCCGGACTCTGGTGGGGCTTTTCCTCTGCACAGACCGGGACTGTAACGTCATCCTCGGATCAGCTCAGGAATTCCTCAAATCCACAGGTAAGAGAAGACTGGAAAATGATAGATACTTATGAAAAACAACAGGTATGGCAGACAAATAAAACACTGTTCGTCTTATATACACAGAGAAAAGTTCATCCTGAAAAAAATAAAGATGTACTGAGTGATGGGTACAATGTCTTGCTATTTCAAAAATAGATCTAAAATAGATAATTAAAGAAATGCATAGAGCGACAGTTATTTGGGGCTACAGTTATTGTTTTCATATTTTAGTAGATAAAATGGATTATATTCTATTTTATTCTGTCAGTCTGGTGATTAGTTTCTATAATAATTGTTTGCTAAAAAAAAAAAAAAGCCTAAAATTGTCAATTTTAATTCACGAGAGCAGTATTTACATCTCCTTGTTTAGTCTGAGTAACGGACCAAAGCCTGAAGAAAAGTCATTTATTCATCATTTCATCCCAAAGCTGCTATGAGAGACAACTAGACTGACATTAATGAGTTTGTTGTGGTGGAAACAGACTCACATGATTATTTCAGCAAACGGCTGACCCAGCAGTTCTTTTATTCATCCATTTTCCTCACTTTTTATTTTTCCCCTCACCTCCTCTAAATTATTTCATTCTTGGATTTCCATTTCCGTATTTCCTAGAAGACAAATAGTAGTTGTGGGCTAGAGAAAGGGATTACTTTGAAATACAAATTAATAAAACTTCTAAACAGTTAATAGTTTTGCCAGAGGAATATTTCTGATTCTAAGACTGCACTCACCAGGACTCCAGCAAGCAACATCGGTCATACATGTGACCAAATATCCAACTAAACATTGTCACTCGTCACCAGTGTGTCTCACATTTAGCAGGTCTGTCTGTGTGTCCTCTGCCAGCTTTGCCAGGTAGATTAAATTAGCTGCTTTCAACTTCAGTAAAACTGACATAGGAATGCCTTCTTTTGTTATTTTTGGTCACACACCTGTCTGTATTGCGGGAACTAGACACTTCTCTGCCTTGTAACGTATACAGATGTACATGAGGTAGCATTGGTAAATTGTAGGGTCTTCATTTTGGCAATATGTACAATTTAACTTTAGCAAACAACCTACATTAGAAAATTCTCAGCCTGTTTGAAACACTGGGATACTAAAACAGCCTACATTATGCCCTTATTGCAAAGATAGCAGCTTGAAAGCACTGATGTTCCAAATTGAAACATTAAAAAAGTGCAATATCTCCAAGAAACTGGTCGTCTGCTGTGACAAGTGTGGCCAGCAGAGAAGCTTTGAGCAGGAACAAAATAGAGCAGTGAAGAGTCAGAAATTCTAAGAAAATTAAACACAACTTACAACATAGCCAAAGAAGACCAACCTTTGTCTAACTTTAGGGTCCATATCATCCTTAACTGTAGAAAATATGTATCTGCACCTTTTATTTACATTTACAATCATTTATATAAATTGTTAAGAGACTGCCTGTTTTTATGGGAACTGACAAATAAAAATAATGCTTAGAATGTGTTAATCAGCACCTAAATACATTGAACATTTTGAGGTCAACCAATGTATAAATTAAGTCTGGAGCCCATGACAGCCATGTACCATCACTGTGAGGAATTACCAGCAGAATGTTCCTGTTAATGAGACTTACATTTGAGCAACAAACACCTCATGCTCACCTGAAAATTGTCCTTCTCTTCTCCTTTTGTCTTTAGACACATTCTCCCAGGGCGAACCCAGAGTCCTCGGCCTGGCCATGATCCCCGGTCACCACGTGGTGTCCATCGAGGTGGAGGCAGACAGTCTAGAAGACACACAAGGATTTGGAGCGAACCACTGACGTCTGCTTGGACAGCATTCAGCATTCATGTGACTGACTCCCATCGAGCCGGATGTCAGGCTGAGGCCGAGCCCAAAGAAGAACGGACATCTTCGATGGAGGATTTGAATCAGTCGCTCAGCCTTCAAGAGATACAGAACTTCTGTGTCAGTATTCTGGATTTAGCCATTCCCTCCATGACTGAAGGACGAGTCCATTTGCAGTGACAGCTGTACAACGCAGCGAGTGTGCCATGTGTGTATGACAAGGTGTGGACAAACAGCAGCAGTGTGGATGTGTGTGGAAGTTGTGTCAACAGTGAACATCTTTGTTACAGTGTGTTTTAAAATAAATCGCTGTATTTCAGGCTTTGTGTTGCTGTTCTTGCCTTTACAGAAAATGTAGAAATCAGCACAAACTGGGTCAATTCAATATTTTTTTAATACACTTGAGCATGTCAGCTGATTGAGTTTGGCAACAGAAAAATTGATGCCACTAACAATAGACACCCTAAAAAGAAACCCGGAAACAAAACCGTCCCACTCGGATATAAATACAAAGAGCCTGTCACATTTTGGTTCACACAATAGAGAAGTAAAAGCAGTTTACAGTCACTGTGTCCTTAAGCTATTAATGGCAAAATAACTTAATTTGTGCTAAAAAAAAAAAAAAAAAAAAGGAAAACATGTCTTCAAAGTAATATCCTCTTTGTTCTTGTGCTGCTGTGTGTCCTCCATGGCTGTAAAATCAGAGCCTCATTTCCAAATGTAATCGTTTAGTTTTTGACTTGTGTCTCAGTGCGACTCGCTGGATAAATATTATCCAAATATTCTGTTTTTGAAGTACATACAGTTTACTTCAGGAATTCAAGCTCCAGCTCAGTCTAACATTTGACACGTGCACTTTTCTGCGAGGCCTATTTATAAATGAGGCTCTCAGATAGCCATTGAAGACGCACTTGGTTTGTAAAGAGCCTCTGAAAGGCTTTTAAAAAGCCTGCAGTAACATTTCAGGAGTGGAGAAGCTGCGGAGTGGTTTTTCAAACAAAGGTTAAAAGTGCAAGTTTTCAAAAAATGTGCATTGAAAAGAAAAATACTAAAACTCTTGATTCAGTCAGCAATTGCTACACGTTTGTTCAGGAAATTCTGAACTTTTTTTCCTGTTATTTTGTGTGTTTTAAGCAGAATTCACACATTATTCCAATTAGAAACAACTGCTAATTTAACGCGACATCAAAATCAATCACAGAGCACCTACAACGATTTAAGATCCATAGGATTTCTAAACTTTTACACCCACAAGTTTCATGTAATAGTGCTTAAGTCACCATTGATATATGAGCTCAACAACACAGATCTCTTCATGTCATTCAGTATAAAAATCTTGGTTCTCTAGTGTAGAGACGCTTCAATACGGTGAAAAATGCAGACTGAGATCAGTAAACCTTTTAAGAATACTGCAAGCAAAACACCAACATACCGACATTCTTCTTATGTAATGTCCAAGCGAAAGTTACTGCATTAAAAAAAAAAAACTCAGCGAAGGTTCAAAGAATGGCACAAAGAAAGAAAGAAGCAATAAGAACAGACACCCCAAATGTCCCACATCGACAGATTTCCACCAGCACCTCTCCACTTCTTGTGGAGCTGATGGGTTCAAACAAGACTTCATTTTCTTCAACAACGTAATTCACCAGTAGCAACAGTTCAGTCCTTAGTTCCTGTGTTAAGTCCAGATTTTTTAAAAATCAAAAGTTCGAGTAAACGACAAAACTGCGTCCAAGCTGAAGCGCAAGTTCTGAGGAAGACGTCGCCATAAATCCAACACAGGTCTTCCCCCAAAGTCCCATCCATCCAAAAATGGCACTAACCCCCATGTGTTTGTAAAGTCCTGCGGTTTAGTTGTACTGGAACTTGAAGTGGAAGCTGCCACCGGACTCGAAGGGGTTGAAGTGGAAAGGCCAGCCCTGTTGTCCTCCACCGCCACCCTGCTGGTTTTCTGGGTCCAGCGGATCCTCGCCTGCATCAAACTTCTGTCTCATTTCTGGCAAAACAACGAGAAGGATGACGTGGACAAACTTAAGACAGTGGAAGCTAAATCATTGGTTAGCATGAGGCACATTTTGGATTCTGTCAAACAGATGTGATACAACCTGAGAGCAGAGGAACAATGCAACTCTCACATTTGCCCGTTGAATATCAAGCTATAGCCTGCTAGTCATTTCCATGGTCCACTTTGTCTTCAAATTAAGATATAATGCATGGACTGGTGAGATTTAAAGGTGCAACAATCTTTTTCTTTTTGCAACTTTATACTAAACAGGGGTATTTCTGCTTTAATTTGTAGTTTGTTTGTTTGTTTTTTTAGCAAGCACCTTGGAAAATCACCGATGCAAAATAATCAAAAAAGGAAAAGATCAAAAAAATTATGTTTTTTTATCCAGAAGATAGAAAATAGACCTTCTTTGCTCATCAAATTGTCAGACATAAAAGGAAAACGCTAATTGATTTTATTTTTTTTTTATTAGCAAATGAGAACGAGCCAATTTCCACTAATGTGTTTCTATTCTTTCAAAGTATCCTTTACAATATATTCTTGTAACTTTTGTTGACTTTCTTCTAGATTATATTTTCTATATTTTTATCTTATTTTATTTTACCTTTTATTTTATACCCTACCCTAATATTCTGTGTTGTCTTTTTGCTTTGTTTACCCCCTTTGTTGAATATTGCTGCTGTAACAACTGAATTTCCCTCTGGGATTAATAAAGTCAGTCTAACTCTTAGTCTAAGTCTAAATTAGCTATTAGTGGTGCTAAAATATGACATTATAGTTAGAATAGTGCAAATCCTTTTTTCCAGAGTGATCAGGGAACAGGCTCCACGTCTTTACTTTGCAGATTTTGCTCATTTCTTCAAAGTTACTCTGACTAACCGTCCCAAAATCACAATATCAGTTGTGCCAATAACAATCTCAGCTCCTGACCTGGGTCGGTGAGGACCTCTTTAGCTGATGCGATGTCGATAAACTTCTTTTCCGCTTCTTTCTTTTCGGACTCGGACTGGAAGTTATCGGGGTGCCACTGCTGTGCCAGCTTTCTGTACGCCTTGATGATCTCCTGCTTATTGGCGTTCCTATGGAAAACCAAGTCCATTAGAGTTAGTGGGTGCTTAGAAAAGTGCTAGGATTTGAATTAGATGTCAGTCAAGATGAAGCAAACACAGACAGTCAATAAACTGGTAGGACTGATTACCTGCTGACACCGAGGATCTTATAGTAGTCCCTCTTACGAGAGATTTTGAGCAGCTTCTGTGCTCGTTCAAGTCCTTCTCTGATCTCGTTGCTGTCGCCATCAAACTCTCTCGCCTCCTGGTAGTCCTCCACAGCTGTGGGAAAAGAAATATGAAGAGACTTTCAAGAAAAATCACAAAATAAATGCTTGTCCTTCCACCACACATTTGTTCTGATTGTTTATTTTACTTTTTTAGTTAAAATTTCTATTCATAAGACAATAAAAATCCCAAATATTCAACTCTAAAGATGGGAGCAACTGGGCAGCCTTGTTGTATTTGAATCATATATGCAGCTGTATTCGGAATTTAATATTTTTCTTAGGGTTTTATTTTGAAAAGGTTGGCAATAATAAATATTACAAGCAATTCATTTATATTTGTTTCAGTATTTTCAGTGTGTTAAACCATAAAAACACCTGATAAAATGCACACTGTATTTGTGCTTCAGGAAACATGCCCTGTGTGCTTTTATTTTGGTTTCACTCAACAAATTGTGTGTTTGTTAATGTTTTCTTTAAATTTTAAATCATACATAATGTATGCTTTACTTCCAGTTAAACCAGTTTCTTACAAACAGTGCCAATGACTGTAACAAGGTAAATATAAGTATAATCCAGTTACTTTTCATTGAGAGCAGTGAGGCATGTTACCTTTCTCATAATCCTGGTTCAGGATGTAGGCCTCTGCTCGGTCTCGGAGGACGTTGGCGTTGCGGGGATCTCTCTGGTGAGCTTCTGAACACACGTCTATTGCTTCATTAGCCAACCTAACCTGAAATTGGCAAGAAGATAATTAAGGAGAAAAATTAAGACTGCACTAAGTGAGCAATTGCACTTCAAAAGTCTGTGAATGAATAACAATTTATGTACAATTTTGAAACTGATCAGCACTTGTCTAGAACATTAACGATGTAGACACATGTTCTGGTTCTGTCTCTCACCTTAACAAAACAGAAACAGATCCTCTCGTTTGCCAGGTTGGTATAATATGGCACATTAGGTTCCGTCTTCATCACTGATTCATACTTTTCAATGGCATCTTGGTATCTGATGGTAGAGAACAATTCAATTAGGTCATCAAATGAATTTTCAAGTGTTCTAGTGTCAGGTGTTGCATAGGATTTAAATATATACTCTCACACAGTATGTTCCTTCACTTATCACTTAAACCACTAACAAAGATTCTAACTTTAATGCTTATGTTAAAGCACTGGTTTCCATACTGAGGGGAGGGAAGCGCACTAATCCAACAGATGCACTGACCTCTCCTCCTGAATCAGCTCTTCTGCCATGTCCAGCTGCTTGCTGAGCTTTTTCACCTGCTTGTAGTGGCTGAAACACTCTTTGTCGTCCTGATCGAGTTTCAGACACTCCCTGATGTGACTGCACAGAAAAAGTGAGACAGACGGATTAAAGAAAGAAAACAGCAAAGCGGACGAACGCAGCTCTCAGGTAGGAGATTGCCATCATTTGCATGGCTCTGCCGAGCAAGTCACGTTAGTATTCAAGTAACAACGCTCACTTGAGTGACTCGTGGTGTTCCCCGAGGCTGTAGTGCAGCATGCTGAGCTTCAGAAAGGCAGCGCGGTTGTCATTGCGTAGCCTCGTCGTTGGCGTCAGATCCTGGATGGCTTTCTGCGGATCCCCCATTCGGATGTAGCATTCTGCACGGAGCTCGCGCGACTCGGGATCCCAGGGAGAGATCTGAGGAGGGACAGCAGTTTTTAAAAACGGACAGCAAAGACAATAATGTTGCCTTCTACTGAACTGTGAAGTCACACTTTAATCAAAACTTTAGACGATTTTCTATCAACACAACATGTTACCATATAAAAAGTATAGACACTTCAGAGAAAACAATCACATTCTGATTCATTCTAACATATAAAAGGCCATTTCCGATCCAGCACTGCAGACATTTGCTTTTCTCCAAATCCCACATGTTTGTAGCTGCCATGCTAAGCCAGTACTTCCAAGTCTGGGGCCATGATTCTCTGCTGGAAATCAGTGGATTGCTACCTCTGTGTTTGGAGTGAGTTGCTGTATCAAGCGAAGGAGTTTAAAGATCTCGAGATGT